TTCCGGGCTAGTGAGGTTTTGCTTAAATGTCTGCGTTCGCCATTACATGAGGATTAAAATAGAATTAATGAGTAATTTGTTTGTTGTTCAATAAAACCAGCACGACATGAAAATGGCCAATGCATTATTGAATAGAGAACAAGAAATCTGCGTAGGTGGCGGTAAATAAATTTTGCAATACTCTGCAGTCTGCATGGAATAAAATTCACTTTTAGAGGTAAGGCCAAGCTTTAAAGCAACTTGCTGCTAGTGAAATTTTAATAGAATTCGTGTGGTTGTTGATATCATGCATTTGAGTGTGTCCTTGGGGGTAATTTGGATTTCTGCCGTTGTGTTTATGACAACAATTAATGGCAAAAATAAGAAACGACTATCATAAATTATGCTCTAGTCCCACGTTGGTAAATGTCCCCTTTAATTTAATTTTGTTTTAATATTTCAAGAGATAGAAAATTTATCTTTGTGGAAATTATTACAACTCCTTTCTCGTCGAATAAGTTTCGAGTTAACTCGCAACTTTCTCTATTTTCGGTCAAGCCTGTCGTATAAATTCCAAGGGAGAAGTGCGTACCTTTTTTTCCTCATTTCTTCGATGTCTTCACCATGTATTTTTAATATGCTTTATTGATTTTACTGGACCTGTGAACATGAGAGATAAAACATTCGACATTAAAATTCTATTTATTCACTTTTGCGGCTCGGTTTCCGATGCATAATCTCGTGTATTGATTTCCCTTTTTTACTTTATAATTGGGGAAATTACAAACTGTCAATCAGCGAGAAAAATACAATTTTACGAGTTTTCAGATGTAAAACAGAAAATGCAGGGAAATTGAATAACTCTTTTAATGAAGTTTAGTACGTAATATCTTCAATTCTCCAATAGGCTAAAATTTTAATTTGCAATTCCCGCCTACCTAGTTGAAGCAATATAGAACATACCATTCCTCTGTACTTTTCATTACAGAGATTGTTAATTTTGGAATTAACAAAATTGTTTTAATCTGAAACTGTAGGCGTATGAATTCGTTACAATTTATCGAGAATTATTCAACCGATTTGAAAATCAATCTGCATGTAAATAATTAAATAGAGAATAATAAACAGGTATCTCTTAATTGATTCAAAACAGTTTCTATTAGTCACAGGGTTTTAATCAGATAATTGGACCTACTTTGAACTTATTTCTTAACATAGAGAGTTACTGTAATATTAGAAGGAAAGATTCATTAGGGTGTAAACCGATACCTGGAAGTAAATCAATGGTGAAAAGGTAAATAGCTATTAGTTGATAATTAGATGTCTTGATGTTACGATAGCACAGCTTCCATAATCGATATCGGAAGCGGTTATTCACAGAATTATATTCTCCAGCCCATGGAAATGCATGTTATTATTTTTCTCGGAACAATTCCAAAAATGTACGGAGCAAAAACAAAATTTAATTAATTTGCAGAAGTTGTATTAACCCTTTTGTTCCATTTGCAATTAATTTTCCCTCATTAGTAGAACATACGGATCGGCTAAATTTGTAGGCGCGTATGTTCATTTCTGTTTAATATAAATTCGGAAACACATCAAATTTCGAACAAACAAACTTCCAGCGAACAGAAATGACATGAAATTACATAACCTTGAAGTTTATTTACCAACTTTTCTAAATAAAATTGCATACAATTTGAGGCGTGAACGACGTGGCAATGCATACGTGGGTATAAAAGTAAATATAAAACGTACAAGCCAACGTAAAACACAAAACAGAAAGTTAAACAAAAAATATTAACTTTTAATTGGTATAGTTTGATTCAATTACGAACGGGTTATTTTATAAATTCCGTTAACTAGCAAAATATTCCTTATTTTAATTAGGTTGTTAATTATTGTTACCACAGCACTGTTTCGGTTCGGAGAGCTAATGCAGCACCCGAGGTGCATTGGCTGAAAAGATATAACTGTGAATTATGAATTGTTAATAAACATATTTAACGGTATTGCGAATTCATGCACTTTAAATGAAATAGCGTTGTACTAGTGTCTCAAATCTAAAGTTCAATTAGTTTACCGATACACTAATTTGATAATTCATTATGTATAGGTATTATAGAAAATAAACGAAGTTAATCAATTCTCTAATACGCTGATATGAATTCCAATAACCATTAATAAAAAATATGTGGTGATTGGATTTCGTGACTATTGGTTCATTGGAATAAAATGATGTATTGAATATTTACAATAAAAACGATTGCTGTATGAAGCATTAATGGTGATAGATTGTTGTTGGCACGTACGTTTTTATTTCAGCAGATGCAATAATGCTGATTGCAAGAGTGAATGAATTAATTGGGCGGGAAGTACGAGACACAGCTAGCCGTTGCTGTAGGCCACAGCTATTTTCCGACCCCCTGGAGTCGAACAATGGGTTGATACCACAAGCCGCTTTTCACATTTTTTTCTACTTAACACATTTATTCACTTACCTAAATGTCGCTATTCAAATGACGCTGCATAATCGCTTACTATTTGAATTTTTTGTTCCTTCGGATGGGTAGCAGCTTAGACATTCGACTTCTGCTGGGCCGGAACGTCCCTGAAACTCTCTCACTTCCAGCACTAAGAACTTAACGTATAAATAAACCAGCACTAAATAAAATGACAATAAAACTGCAACACGCTAAAAATCAAACGTACATTTTATCTCAATCTAAAAAAATACCTAAATAACTTTAAATAACTAAACCGACTGTTTAAACCAATTTAATATAAACTGAAGAAACATCAACCTGCCCGTCAAATGGTTAAAAAAGTGGTTGAGGAGATGAAAGCGACGAAAGCTAGCTAGGTCACAGTTACAGCTCAATGTTACATGTTACAGTTTTCAGTGTATGTCAATGTCACTGTTAGATGTTTTATGTGCTAAATGTTGCCAGGAGCTCAATATGTGTTGAAGCTAAAACTGCCACATCAAATCCAAGTTATTTCGATCTTAATCCTAAAAAAATGAGTAATTTTTCTTTTTTATTTAGTTTTATCTTAAATCGAACTAAATAAAAAATACTTGTATTTCCAAATCCGAAATTCAATTTTAAATGAGTATAGAAACAAATTTGAAACTTGCTTCATCCTTACGATTATCATTTGTATTAGTTGCAAAATAATTAAGACTGCGATAGTAGATAAGTATTTAGCTCGATGAATTATTTCATTTGCAGGCATCTAGACGAAACGAGTTCCAAAACTTAATTTGCAAAGAAATGCATTAAATTTAGGAATACAGGCTAAAATATTAACTGAAAAGTTGCCAAAATTCTTCGGAAATATAAACAACTAAATTAAATTGTTTCTTGCCATCTATTTTGAAATACAGGGTGTTACTATATCGTTTCAATCCCTCAGGGTGTGTTGCTTGAGGAATTGTATGAAGAAAATTTAATATAAGTGCGAATTAATTTTTACACACTATTTTTTGGCTAGAGGCTATTACATTTTAGTTTTATTGTGTGTTAATGTTCAATGTTAGTTCCACTCACTAAAACCTATAGAACTTTGGATATATGCTTAAATTTTGCTTATTTTGGTCATGTATATGTTTTTTTGGTTCCCTTGAATACTTCAGTAACGTTATTGAAACGTATTTTACTGCAGTTTTATTAAACAATTTCTCATGTGAATCAATCTTCTTGTAGACTTTTTTCCACAGCATAAGTGTGTTGAGTTAATATTTTGCATAAATAAAATAAAACTATTAAAATAACATCCTTCAGGATAGGTTTTGATAGATTAGAGTAGATTAAGCATATGTTAGATTAGGTTAGGTTCATGTGAGTATACTGTTCATCATAAAATAATTGAAAGAATAAAACTCAATCAAATATTAGCAATTCAAATAGGACCCTACCCTACCTAACCGATTTTTTGAAATGTTTTACTCTTACATTTTAATTATCGCATTTTTTTCAATTGTATATTATGAAATAATGAATTAATCATCAATTTTTTACTTGGAGGAATATTTTTATGCCTCGCTTTGAATGCTTTTAGTTTTTTTCCGATTTTGTGCCAGAATATAAATGGTAGAAATATCAGGCTTAAAGTGCAAAAAAGTATCTAAGTAACTTGGATGTGAATAATAATTTTATTGTCAACTGGGCCCTCTAAGAAAAAAACTTAGTTTGGTAAAAATCGATGAGGTGCTCCTACAAAATTTTTGGAAAGCGACTGTGAGCGTTGGCTCTCACAAATTTTGTAGTGTAGTAAAAACGCCTAAATGCAGCCGCTAATAAATCAACATTTAGAATCGCAATTAGAATGGATTACATTTGGTGAGTTGATATAAGCTGATAGAAATTTTCGACCGTCGAAGATAAATTGATGTTGATTGTTGCATGTAAATCTTGAAAATATATCGTACTCGCGCGCGATAGAATACCGTTGAAAGAAACCAGTCTACAAATTCATTGCCAGTCAGACCAAGACCAGCATGAACAAACCATTATCTAGAATCGGAAAATTTTAACGATTTGTGTTGTTATAAAGTGCTGATGAGGGTTTCGACGGGACTTACCAAACTAATATTGTGGTCAAACATAACGGCAGCTGCTTGTATGTCCCACCCGGTATCTTCAAGAGCACATGCAAGATAGACATTACGTGGTTCCCATTCGATGACCAACATTGTGACATGAAGTTTGGTAGCTGGACTTATGATGGCAACCAGGTATTGCTACGCATTCTTACCGTTTTTGTTAGATACAAACACTTATATACACATTACACAAGCACTGTCCACATATGCCTCTTTCAACCTTTTCGCCTGGTTTGAAGCCTTTTACTCGTACTCTTGTGCTTCGAATTTTGGATAGGTCAATATTTGTTTGATCTATTGTTATGGAAGCTTCTTCTTTATACTAATTTAGCCTACGAGTAAACATCGATTCTAATTAAGGTATTAAAAAAAAGGCTCCAAACATTGCACTCACAACTCGCGCTATATGAGAATGTTGGCTTATTTTAATCAAAATGTGCGCGTTAGATTTCAAAATTTATAAGCGAAATTTGCTTTGATGCCATTAGATCTTTAGAAAGATTATTTCCTTAAGAAATTCTTAGAAAAATAAAATTTTTAACAACAAAGCAAAAAACAATATCAATATTACTCCTTCAGAGTATTATATTAAAATTAATATACGTACAACAAGTGATCTGTTTAGACTAATTAAAAGAATAATTTGAATCATATTCACGAAGCATACATTATTTTACTTTCCCCAACAAAAATTGAAAACTTTTAAATAATACAGATTATAGGTACCAATCAATTTTTGATAAAATTGATCTAAATCCCGTTTCATAACCAATCATTCAAATGTATCTGGTAAATATCTAGTACATTAATCAAATAAAACAGATTATTGCGTTTTAAATTTTCATGTCGAAACTCGATACCATTTTCCTGAAATTCATATTATTTGAAGGACAATTTCAAAAATCCACAAACGCACATGTTTTAATTGATTTTCATTTATTCATTGTCTCAACAAGCGTTCACGGTCAATGTCAACTCAAATGTATTTTTGAATGGAACAAACTATCGATCGAAATTTCCTCCGCTGATTTTCATAGAATACTATAAGGATTCCAGAATTTAAACGTGTATTGAATGCGTCTATAGTGTATTGAGGAGGATACAAGTCATTTAATGGAAACGGGCAGTGTAAATATTTGCATTAAACCGTTTTAGGCCGTAACCATTAAACATGATAAATCAACAATGCTATCTCAAGAGAATATCTACTTATTTATTTTCAATTAAGTATACATACCTTTAAAACACTCTCTTGTGATTTTCGTATTGGTCCACGCTCGACATCACTCCTGAGTAAATATTTTCTGAGAAAAATCTTGTGAAGTCCCTTTGAAAGCCAAGTGTGAAAATTAAAATTCACAACACTGTTTCGAGGAAAACAAAAGTTCATTCTGCTTACTTGCAGTAAATATCTCTGCTTTATTAGGAGAGTATCTGTAGCTAATTGATTAAGTAAACGATCTATCTTGTTCTTAAGTTCAAATATTTGACAACAGATAAAACAAATAGAAGGTTATTTGTCATATAAACGAGCATTATATATCACCCCCGGCTTTCACCCAAGTTAACTTAAGGAAAATCGATTGGTTTCATTTACGTCTACATAGTATTGCATTTTAACAGAGATATTGGTGTCATTCGAATAATACATATTACTGTGTTCATATGATTCAAATTATTTTTATAGAGCAACTCATTAAAATAAATTAATCACATATTTATTGGCATTATACGTAAAGCTAACTAAACCATATAAAAAATACATCAAAGTGCACGCCTAGCTAATCTGTGTTAGAATTTTTAATAGAACAACGTGCGCGACAAGTTGTTAAGCATCCCAAACACATACCCATCCCTTCGTCCATCGGTTTGAATAATATTTAATTTACAACACATTTAATTTCAACGAACAAATTGTCTCTCTAAAATCTCTAAAAACGTATTTCCACAAAGCAGCGACTCGTCTTCCATTAAAACTTTTTAGCCAGAATTACAACTTTGTTTTGTTGTAAACGGCAATTTTGAATTTAATACTGTCGTTAATTCGGAGGAAATATTTAATTAGGTTTACGAACTGCGACTGATGTGCTGTTTAATGAAAGTGTATTTCATTAAGTATGTTTATTCATATCCTAACTAGTGAAACTAATATTTCTGTAGTTAGGTGTGGATTGATTATTTGATTTGCAAATATTGTTCATGAAATTTTATCTGCTAAAGAGGACCTTGTAAAATTATTAACGGGTACAAAAAGCGAAATCTGAGAAGAAGAGAGAGGACAGCTCACGTTTAATAACATGAGACAGGCCAAACCAGGACAATACTAATTATAATCAATTAATTATTAATGTTATACGGCAAATTTATGGCTCAATTCGTAATTAATCAAAATTTCATATAACTTATGAAAGAGCAAAATTTTAATAATACCTGCTCAGATATTACAAAGAATGGTGGTAGTTTACACAAAGAAATAATTACATCTCTAATTCTGATTCTAATCTATTCTTCTTCATAATTATGCATTTATCAAAAAGAAAAGTAAATCAATTGGCCATTCAAATTTAAATTTTTTCCGGTTTTCAACTTCACGAATCTTGCCAGTCGATTCCGAGAAAAATTTAAGTCACTCTGAGCTTTATTAAAAAAAGGATACTCATTTATTTCGGAATAAATAAAAACTTAAATTGTAAACTCTGCTGTAATTTTGGCTAAATTGTTTTCGTTGCCGAACTGCTGAGAAAATTATAGCGAGGAATGGGAATCATGAACAATGGAAATCAGTTTTATTACCAAAAAAAGTCTCGTTAGGTCTGGTTTCGAATATTTTTCTAACCTTTTAAATGCTAATGAAAAGTGCTGAAAAGCTATTGCAGTTCGAATTTATATTTCTACTTCTAGTAATAACAAAATTTACAAAAAAAATATTTTATCAAACCGCCGATAATTAAATATATTCTTCAGTTCATTACTAAATATCAAATATATGTACCTATTAATTAAAATAAAGCGTATTTACAAATATGAATAATTTTTCAAACAAAAAATATTGTTCAAACAAAAAATATTATTCAAACTAACTTTTCAACAACATACACACAATATTATTAATTACAACTGATATTTAAATTAAAAATATTCGAATTTTTGGAATTAAAATTACTAAAAATATAATTGGCCATCAGCATTTCGTATATTAAAATTTGTAATTTCTGGAAGAAATTATCAAGCAAATATTTTTTAGCTTTGACCTCAAATTGAATTTGATTCCTTCTCGACGAAACAGATTTAAAGGAATCCAATTTCCATGAAAACAATCAAAAAGGTTTTTAAATCTCTGAAAAGTTTTTTCTTAATTTCTTTTACTGTGACTTCTTATTGGGCTTACTGCCCATTGGCAGTAAGCTTCTGTCGTTTCGTTGGATTAAATATAAAAATTTCATTTATTTATAAGAAGGCTATTTGATTTGTAAATAAAAAACAGCCTTCATGTTAAATATTGATTGTTATCTTATTTTCATATATAGATGTAAGCCCTTTCATTTTTATTTACATACCCTTTTCTTTCACGAAAAAATGTATTCAAAATATAATCCAACATTTTTTTTAAATGTACATTTAATACTGCTTCGTCGAAAATTCCAGGGAACAATGAAATAATTTTCATTTAGCGAAATGCCTCAATGTCTAATATTTATTTAAATACATCCGTTGTAATTAACTTTAATTGATTTTTACGTTTGTGCTAATAGATTACATATCCATTAAATTATATTGCATCAATAAAGCGATAATTGTATTGAGAAATAATAGCATTATGTACTAATACAAATAAATACACAATATGTTAAATTGTTGCATACGATAAAACATAAGACCGTAATTGAATTAAATCAAATTCAAAAACGACTGCTATTAAATTTGCGCAATAAAAAATTAAAAGAACCAACAATAGAAATAACATTTTAAAATGTTGGATGTAATCTAAAGGTAACAATGTAAATAAATCCGAATAATTATCCAGTTCACACAAAACCACCTTAGGGAACCATGTGACTGTATCGTTAGATTTTACTATTTTGCATGGAGCACAGTGTACTCAGCTTCTCTGCCACTGACTTTACACATCCATGAAATCCATTGTGTATCCTGCTTTATCAGATAAGGGAATTTTCGCGAGGGAAAATTGTTTTACTTGACTACTTGACGGATAGTAATAACGGGGCATAATACAATAGGTAAATTTTATAATTAAATTTCATTCCGAGCACCTATCCGTTTTTCACGAAACCGAATTTCACTTATTCAAGATATAGTTCATTAGAGTGTACGAAAATGAACAGTGAGTTATTGATTAACTGTGAATGGGGAAATGCTTCCATCTAATCCTCTTTAAATATCAACCATTTCGTAAATAATTTTACCGGTTTCGTCTGCAGTTTCATCAATAGACAAAATCAATTGAATTGTTTATGAATGATTCGAGTTATTAATAGATTTTAATTCAAACTGTCTAGACATTACTAATTGACCTACAAATTTTCGAGTAAATAATTTAATATAAAATTATTTAAAAATATAGAACATATTGATAATACAAAAAAGTAAACTCAAAAAAACATTTATCTAGGTATTATGCGAATATCTGGTATATCAGTATCTCATATCCCTTCGCTCATTCCCGACTATAGTAGTCCTTAAATCTTAACCCCCAGCTATCCGACCCTTGTGAAGTTTTTAGCAGAGGAGTTGTAATTGATCCTGCTTAGAGGGGATGTAAAACAGTGTGCGTAATAGTAAATGCTCTTGGTATAAACTTAATAAACATCGACAAAATTTAGGTTTATGGGGTGTACAGGATGGTCCAATAAAAAGCCAAATTTCCAAAAGAATATTTGATTTAAGTTACGATTAAACAGTCAAGTATTTACGCTTTTAAGTGGATAAAACAGGATGAACTAAAAGGGATAACGTTACATAATTATCCCCTAGATCGCTCTCTAATAATGAGATGAAGCCCTTAAGTGCTTGATTACGGTATGAGATTAGTAAATGTTCCTTTAAAGTAATAATTAAATGCTGCGTCAATTAATGAGGCAGTAATGCTTTATTAAAGTTCCTCTAATTTGGAGGATGGTAGAAGTCGAATTCTGATTGAATATTTATCTTGATGATATTTTGCTACAGGCTTTTTGTTTTGATTGTCCTAAAAATACAGGCGTAAAAAAACATACCTTTTTGTTGAAAAATCACATGAAATTAAACCTACTGAACTTTCATGTGAATGCCCTTGTGCCCGACCTCCGATTAATCATTTTATGCGAAATTAAACTGGGTTTGAAGCAATTTTAATTGGCAGAGGACGACCACCTGCAAATTTTTTGGTGTGAATTAGTAACGCTTTGGTGATGAAGTTTGTGGTTTGACAATTAATAAAATGTCGACTTTGAGTACCAATTAATAAACAAACCGGTATGGAAATAAATCTCCCCTTATGTTGTAATTATCTCTTTTCATCTAAGATAAAAATTTATTATTTTGTGATATCTGTGTATGCATCGTAATCGTAAAAAAGTAAATTTTACTATTGCAAGCAAACCTATCTATAAATATTTTAATATATTTCTATCAAGAAAATACTAATATTCTTTTTTACTCGAACAATCACTGTATATTAAAATAAATTCTATTGATAGGTTTGTTATGAAAATAAACCTTCAGAACGAATATTTAATTCTGTATATGCTATATTTGCCGAAGAAGTCTATATTATATTTTTAGAAGAAGTTAAGACTTGAAAGTATTTCCATCGATCAATTTATTTACGTTTTTATTTTTGTTTTCCTCTGCAAGCTTTCGCTTTTCTCTAAGGAAACGGGAAAAGCAAAATAATGTTGAACTCTACTTTTTTGTGGAAATTAAGCGTTTTACTTGAATGAATCTTTAAATCAATAACCAGTGGAGTGTTACGTTTTGTCACGAGCTTTTTCTTGCGTCATTCAGGTTATTGTCCGTTTTTCTCAATGAAGAAGTTACAGGTGTTATTTTTGGAAATACGAGTAGGTAAATTTAACTTCTTTGAAAACATCGAGAAATATAATTGTTATTAGAATTGTACCTACTTATATATTTTCGTAATTTTATTAGCATGATTCGTTAAATACATATTTAATTGTTATTAACTTTTACTTGTAGCCCTGAAGGATAAAACTTTTTCTTACATCAATTCATTGTTTTTTGGTAAATAATTAAGTGCATGTTGTAACTAATGTAAAAATAAAACTTAAATATATTTTCATCTCTACTAATATTACTATTGTTTGCTTTACAGTATAAATAAATCTGCATCATCATTCATGTTTTCTGACTTCCATTGTAGTAGATTATTCGTAAAAATAGTGTACCTACATTATAAAAAATGCATTGTAATTTTATGTGTTCAATTTTTGTCTAAGATGAAATGCGATATTTCAATGGGGAAATTAGCGTGACTTATTGAAATGTATTTAGTAGTTAGAGTAGATATGCAGTTGCTATAATCACCACAGTTTGCATGTCTTCAATCAAGCACATCATTTAGTTCTAGTTTCGTTAATCAAACACCTCACCTCACACCAATCTATTCTATTGCCTGTTTTGTCGTTAGCTTTCGTTTTATACTTGTTATATTGACAACTTTTCTGCAGCTTGATCTGGTCCTTAATTCTGAAGAAGGAGGTGATTTATCTGATTTCATAACGAACGGTGAATGGTATCTTATCGGTAAGTAACAAATCGCTTATTTGTAAGCGTTCAAGGAGAAAACATCCGCTCATTTTCCTCGCTTCAAGAAAATGATTAAAGCTGTTTAATTAGAAACCTCACACTTTTTTACACTTTTACGCCACCATTGTGTTTACCCGTGCAATCTTAACCATCTCATGAAAATTAATAAGCCTTCTTAATGTTGAACAAAATCCTTTACATAAGACATTATCGACGGAAATAGCTCGGAATAACTAGAGTTATTAGGTACATAATTTCGCTTATAATAGACCGATATTTATCATTAGCAACCCCTTTACCAAGTTTCCTTTGGAAAATAATTACTCTCGATTTATTGCTCATGAAATATTGTATTTTGATCCGGAATGCTAATAATTCGCACTCAATTACACTATGAGAGACAATTTCCTCATCTATACTACCTATTTAATATGTGCTTGTAGTCTACGTTGGCAATCAATAATAACCAGTGGAAGAAAATGTGTTCCAATCTATATTGAGCAAATTATAGCCTAAGAAACGGAAAATCTCTTAATATGTTTGCCTCGTGTGTGTAATAAGCCATAATAATTAACGTTTGAAAGGATATCGCCGTTATTGGAAATTTATTGGGTGGATTTTTAGGAAATAATTCGTCTGTAAAATTAGAAATTTAATGGGCGTAAATTAGTATGAATGAAACGTGAAGGCGAATAAGGCAGTCATTTTTAAAATATAATGTCTTATAGCTCTAATCAAATAATCATGCGATTTCGTCATTGTGTAAATAGAACCTTATAAAATTTGAATTAAATTAGAGAATTTCCTTGAGCGCTTATACAAAATGCATGTCTAAAAGATAAATTTATTTGGATTGAAATCTTTAGGAATGCCCGGAAAGAAGAATACAATTGTTTACCAATGCTGTCCTGAACCGTATGTGGATGTAACCTTCACTATTCAAATACGTCGTCGTACCTTGTACTACTTTTTCAATCTGATCGTTCCATGCGTACTAATTTCTTCTATGGCTCTACTGGGTTTCACTCTACCACCGGACTCTGGAGAAAAGCTAACATTAGGTATATTGTTCTGTTATTATTGTTGATTGTGTTTGCTTCAATGTATTGTATGGTTGACGCTTAATTAACCGGCGTCTATACTAAATGCTTGTTGGTATAAGCATAATTTAACATAACCAATATTTTCTATCTACTCAACTATTTACACAAATACTACTAGTATTAGCACTAGAAACACTAGCGGTACTCAAGGAAAATAATCTTTCTTCGTTTCGACTGTCGACGGTTCACAAAGAATCACAAAAACACGTTCAAAATTCAAAATCTTCATTTCAGGTGTCACCATACTTCTTTCATTGACAGTATTTCTGAACCTAGTAGCTGAAAAGATACCGACTACATCAGATGCTGTTCCGTTAATAGGTATGAATGGCCTAATGGGAGCATCGTGTATTGTATCGCCCCGTGTGTCCCCTTAACGGACTGTCCGTTGATACTTGGAGGGCGTTTGTATATAATGCCAACTCCCTTTTATTGTTAAATGTAATCGCAAAACACTGAACATCGCTATGAATATATCTTTCCACACTAACCCCTCCATTTACAATTGCTTGATTTTCCTTTCCTTAGATAGATTTAGGTCATGGTATCATGGTATAGTACCTAAGTAACTACGTAAAGTACCTCAACTTTGCATAAATTTGGTACAAGGTAAGTTCATCGAAATTACCTGGCAGTGATCAAAATTAGTCCCAAGATGAATGCGAACAAAAATTTACTTGTTTGGAAGAAATAGTCATGACGGTAAGAAGAAAATGAAGAAAAAAATATAACATCTTTAATAGCTTTAGTTTATCTTACTCTTTTAAACTTTTAACACTCCTCTATTCTTGATTAGCTGTAGTAGTTGACTATTGTAGCTAGCCTCTGGCCTTTAAAAAATCTATTCAACTAAGAGTGTAGTTTTTTTTGCTAAATATTTTTGTATCGTGGAAGAAAAGTGCAAAGTTGATAGACATAAAGGCGTTTTCAGAAACAGGTTTGGTACTAAACAATATTTAAATAAAATGGAAACGACCGAGGTATACAAAAATAGTAATGTTATGTTCGCAGAAAAGCATAATGAAGATATGTTCTGTTACAGGAGTGACCATCTTACTGTCGTTGACTGTGTTCCTGAACCTAGTGGCTGAAACCTTGCCCCAAGTATCTGATGCCATTCCCTTGTTAGGTACCAACCGTTATTTGTCTGACCTGCCTGTGCTGGCTACATCCTCAGTGCTGCCTGATTACTTATGTATCGTTGTGTATATGTGATTGTTGTGTACGCGCGCGGTCTAAGCTTTCAGTGGCACCTTAGATATTTTAAAAATATTTTTTCTATCTGTCTAAGGTGAGTTTTCGTAAATTTATATTTAATCGAACGGAAACTCCAAAGGAGATTGGATGTTTGATCAAGTATGGATATTGCGAAAATTTGCTTGTGATTGAATACGTTGCGTTGTGATCAAAGAAGAAATGTTTCAGGGCAAAAACGGTAATGAGCGGAAGTGCTGTTACAGTAGATTGGTGGTCTAGTATTTGTCATGTTACTCTTTGCATTGTCCATGTTTTTGTGTACTTTTTCTTATTTGCCATTTTTTACGTGTAAGTTTGTTGAATATTTTTTGGAAACCGAGATGTGGGGAAATCAGGCTTTGCCGTAAACATTTCCTCTTTGACTACGACCTGTAACTGACACAATAATTTTCGAAACGTCTCGTTAGAATTCATAAATTTACAGATTTAAACATTTTCCTCCATACGACATCTCTCATGGAACATGTCATCCTAACGATTAACTTCTCGGAATTTATATTGGATCATATTTCTTTTAGAAAGAAATTCTTGGAATTATTTCAAATGGAAACCTCACATATAAGAATTACCTTTAGTAAATTATATTTAAAAAATGCAAAGTTGAACATAATACACTTGCATACCTAAAGGTACAATATTGAAATGAAACTCGTTTCGAGGAATTTCCTCGGAATGCGGGTAGTAATTCAAGCTGACATAGTCGGAAAATTTTAAATTCTGCGAATTACAATAGCGATGACGGTGCGAACAAGGGATTGTTGTGTCTGTTACAAAACGTTAAACGGGAAGGGAGCCGGATACTTGGAATGAAGGGGCCGTCTTATATACTACAGTATCATTATTTATTTATTTGTATCAGATTGTCAATAGTCTTTTAAGTCGCAACCGCGGCACAGGTCACAGGTCAGACGCCTCGCGTGACGCACTGTCTGTTGCAGGTGTGACAATCCTGTTATCACAGACCGTGTTTTCTCTGCTGGTGGCGCATGTTATAACCAAGACGTCCGACGCTGTGCCCCTGATAGGTTAGAGTCTCGGTTCAATAATTATCGTTTTATTTGCAAACACACTGACTACTCCGGCGGGCAACGGTTAAAGGCGGCCCTGTCTCTAATCTTTTATTTCACCACCGCGAACCGTTCTATACGCTAGAAATTTTCAGTCACTTGTAATTCTGAAATCCGAAATCTTCCCCTTATGCAAATGTGTTGGTTAAGTACATCACTTCGCTTCCAGTTCCGCTCTCATTTTCGTCTAAACTTTCACTATTATTTTCAACTAACTTTCTTATAGTTTGGATTTTTTGTTGTATCGTTATCTTTATTTTACATATAGAGTATGTGGGTTGAGGCGGGGCCGTACTTTGCATGCTCTCGACTGTAACAGCACTTCGCCCAGCCACAGCTATAGTACAAGTACACAACTAGTCTGCAATCTTTTGCAGCTAGTGCTTCTCTTTACTGTGTTGGGGTGAATGGTTGGATACTGCGACCGAGGCTAAAATTATTCCACAAATAATCTTTAATTATTAAATTATTAAGCAGATAATCAACCTAATTATTAATTAATAATCGATTTAATTTTCTGCTATCCTACATTCTCTTCCTGTGATCCAATCTCGCCTAACTTCGAGGTCTTTTTATTAGTTTTAATCGATCGATAAGATATTACAGAAATTTTGTTACGTGTAGATTAATAACGTTATACTAATTGCGAAAAAGGATCTCGTTAAAAATATTAGACACCTTAAATAATCCTTTATGTCCGTGGTTCTTCATATGATTACCTGTAGATTCGTAGTGTCCCTATGGGTTACAGGATGGGCCATGCAAACTGCAAATTTAATTTTCCTAGCTGCTCACTCAGACTCGCTACCTAGGGTGCGCTGCCGACTCACTCTTGACTGCCAATGACCTTCTCACCTCCAAGTATCAAATGGCTCTGTCCCACTAGGAATACCAATCTGTATGTTTTGTTGTTGACATGTTTATTCCTTTATTGTTTGTACTATTTATCTTACTAATTCTGTTTTTTTTGTTTATTTCTTATTATTCGTTACCTCCTCGTTAAGTAGTGCTATTTGTTGTGTTTAGTATATAGTACAAAGAACCAAACGGAGTCTCCTTAAGTGTATAGTCGAAATATACGAAGCACGCATCATAAATGTTTAGTAATTGTTGCTTATGTATTTGTTGACTCTATACTGATTGAGATCACTAAAAAGTCCTTGTACTGTATAAGTACTCAACCTAACACTAAATTAACCATAATACTAAATTAAAAAAGTAATAATGATTATATAAAATAATTTATATAATAATCCGGTCTAAACTACGGTTTCGTCTGTTTTTAATCCATAAAAATCGCATCGAAGAGCTTCAAACGATTTATTTGAAATTCAAGCTTTTTGTATAGATTTTATAATTGCGACCCCGTACGACTGGAGATTAAATAACACGTTTTCTTTTCACAGTTTAACTGAATTTAAAGCGACGTTAATAAACAAGCCTCAATCGTTAATAATAAAAGTATAAACCGTTGGTTTTTGTCGTGCATAGATTGGCAGTACGTGGCGGCCATTGAAACACTTAAGACGATTCAGATGCATTCTGTGCGTCTTGTCTTGACATCTTCGCGCACACAGATCAGATCGAATTCGAATACTCCACTGACAGGCTACCACGTCAGGTAATCTTGCACTATAACGAACCAAATGCAATTTTAAATAATTTATTTAAAAACATGTGCACTTAGATATACTTTCACGATGCGGTGGTTCGGTTTATAGCTCTTTTACTAGTAGTTGCTTTTAGTTCTGGCTTCGGTGAATATGTATGAAAAAAAAAACATAATAGCAAATATATTTAAACTGATAAGTAAAAGTTTAAGGAGAAAGAACAAAGAAAACAGTATTTTGGCTTTACCAGGAGCACATTATAATAAATAAAATGGATGGAATTGGAATTCTTAAAAGTGAAAGAAACGGAACAGTGCCATCAAAAGAACAAATTTTTCATTTAGGAAACTCATCAAGAATTAATGCATGTGACAAAAGAAACCGTAATAGTTTTCTTTTGTAAAAAATGGAAAAGCTACGAAACCGAACCATTTCGTTACTATTATTACAAAATACGCATTTAGAGAAAGCTTCGCCTTTATCCTAATCTTATTCTACAGCTTTCATCCCATCTGAAACCCGATATAAAACTAATGCTCAATTCCGGATTTAACTATTAAAATTATTGATAATCAACAAGGACTGGTTTAAATTTTAAAAGCAATTGCAGACAGTGCCGAAGTGTAGCTTACGTATGCTTTAGTTCCTTCGGAAATACAAGGGCATTTTACTTTTAATGTTTTTTTTTGGAAATCTAATCAATCTACGTTTATCTAATGAATAGGTTAAAAAACTTTTTAGGTAAAAAATTGAATTAGGTGTAAATCATAAATTCATAACAATCCGATAAATACATAAATGCAACTTTTTAAACAGGAATACAAATGCGTAGACAGGCTAGATGATACTTAATAAAGTAAAATATTTTTTCTTATTAAATGGCCCTTCTATTTCGCTCTTGATATTAGTGAAAAAGTACTTTATCGATAACGGCACTGCTGCTAGTCAACCGACCTCGGCCTGTGAACAAGCTCATGTGAAATTCATTGAGGAGGGTACGATTTGTAGTACGTGGACATATTAGTAAATATTTAAAAATTTCATGTGTAAGCTTGCCGTGTGAGTGTGTGTATAGTAGATATAAAGTAAATAATTGTTTATACTTTAATTTAGAAAGACTTGAGTGTACATAACGTAGTATAATTCATAATATTCGAGGTGTTTTGCTTGACACATTCCACATTGTTCCATTTAAATGTTTTTTTCTTTTGTACAGATTTTGTACTTTTGTTGTATTTTTGTATAGATTAGTGTAGCACCTTAATGTATTTTTTACATCAAGTATTTGCAAAAAGCTAATATATCGGATATTACAGGAACTTACTTCAACTGTATAATGTTCATGGTTGCTTCTTCAGTGGTTCTTACAGTCGTGGTTTTAAATTACCATCACCGAACAGCCGATATTCATGAAATGCCTCAATGGGTAAGTCTCGCTAATTCATTTTATTCTGTTTATATTTACTCTGTTTGCGTGTTAATTAATTTTGTGATCGATACATGTTTATTTCATATACGTTTGATGTGTGGTAGAATTGGATTGGATAATTTTGTTACAGATTAAATCTGTCTTTTTGCAATGGTTACCGTGGATTTTGGGAATGAGTCGACCTGGCAAGAAATTGACCCGCAAGACAATACTAATGAATAGCAGGATGAAGGAATTGGAATTGAAAGAACGATCTTCGAAAAGTCTCCTGGCTAACGTTTTAGACATCGACGATGATTTCCGGAATGTATCTGGTGCTACAAGCTCTACTGGAAACAATTCAACGCTTACGACGAACCTAGGCCCGGGCTTCATAAGGCACCCGACGACAATAGAAGATGCTAACATTTCAGGAAGTGGCACCTTTCAACGCGACCTTCAGCACATTTTAAGGGAATTGCAATTTATTACTAATAGAATGAAAAAGGCTGACGAAGAAGCAGAAGTAATTAGCGATTGGAAATTTGCGGCTATGGTAGTTGACAGATTCTGCTTGATTATTTTTACGATGTTTACTATAATTGCAACGGTCGCTGTATTGTTATCGGCGCCTCACATTATTGTTCAGTAAATTGACAACTCAAAAAATAAACTCGTTACAAAAAGGCGACAAAACATCGACATAAATTTTGTAACGCCTAAAATCAGCTTCAATTGAAAACGTACATCAATACCATAACTGTATACTCGTACCAATTATAATATCACGAATGTCCGATTAGTAAATCACTAAAATGATTTTACGGACGCAAATGCTGATGTTACAACAAATATTAACATTGAATGTTTACTGTGATAAAACAGCAGATTGTGTCGGCAGTTCGGCACACGAGCATTTCAATTTGTGCAATGTGCCTTTTTCTGTGGAACATTCACGAGCTGTTAACCAACTAAAAGGCAGGCACCTATGTATGTGCAAGTTTTGCTAATCGCTGCATCGTACACCATACTGCTGTGGGGCTGCAAGACATTTCCATCTGTCAAACGTCGAAACAAAGAAAATCTATTTGTACAATTGTACTTCCACTAAAATTGTTTAAGTTTTGTCGTTGTTGCATTATCGACGACAATGAACGGACTTTGGGCACACTCTCGTGTTCTATATCTTATCCAGTCAATAGAGTTTAAAGAGTTTACTTTGATGAAAGAAAAAATGCTAAATGCCTACCTCTCGTTTCTCTCACTAGTTTCTCACGGTTATTCTACTTTTTAAGGCCGCTGGAAAACTATATATACACGTACATACATATACATATACTATTGTTATCTCTTTGTTTTATTTAACTTTAAAACGAGTAAGTCAATTGCATTAATAAGTAAGTTAAACGATAAGATTGTTTAGAAAATTTGTGGTATTAGTGAATAAACGATTTTATGAAACTAATAAGAATCATTGCAGGAGCAGTGGCATAAAACTCAGACAATAACAGAAAACTAAATGCTAAAATCGTTCTTTCTTCCAGAACAGCTGTTTGTTTTAGCCAGTTCAAATAGTGTGAAGGACAGAAAACATTGTCATATTTATAGTGTGGTCTTAAATAGTGGAAGGATGTGCTATTCGGTAAAATTAGGCATTTATTCTGCTTTGCTAGGCATTGAGTAAAAATTAAGGCGCGTATAATGTGAGAGAACTTTTGGTTTGGTTTGGTAATGTTTCCATACGGATTTTCTGTCGACTGGACTAATTATTCATCAAATCAACTCGCTATAATAACACTAATTCAGTACTAAGAAAGTACTTGTTATTCAGTACTACGTGCAAGTCAAGTAGTTAGTAGTAGAGTATCATTAGTTCGAGGTACACACGTGTCTGCCTTTTGTTCGCCCATTGATATTGATGATAATTGATAAATAAAAGGTGTCCACCTACATTAAACCTATTGTGATGAACTTCGCAACTAAATAAGTAAAAGATAAATATATAAGTTATATATAGAAAAGTAAATAGTATATGAATAACCTTGACGTGGGTAAAAGTTGTGCGTTTATATATTCGGAGACTCGACCGGCGACCGATGTCGGATGAAGCCATCTTTAGCGAATGTCGATTCAAGTCATGTGTCCAACACTTGCACACATCCGCGTAAGGGCCGCTCAAACTCCGTACCGATATCGAAGAACGCCCTGTCTGGCTCCGCCGTTTTTTGGGCGCCATGTACCCAGGCATTTACACCTACTTCATCACTACTCTTTTTTTCCATCATCATTAAATTTCTCCCAAGTATCATACATCTTACACCAGGTGTTCAAATTTGTTGTTAGCGCGACTCTGTGGATAGTGGATAGTTACTGTTTGACTAGATTGTTTTATACCAGAATGTTGCACAATTTTTTATACAAGAATATTTATCGCTGACGAAAAGTAAGCAGCAAATAGAAAAGTGGGAAAGTAACCCGATAAATCATTTTTCCTATTAAATTAGCGGTTTTTACACCTCGTGTATATATTTGTTTGAATGATTATTATTTTTGAAACATCACCATATCATTTTTGCCATTTCGAAACAGATATTTTATCCATTTTGATTGCGAAATTTAAGACAAGTTATTAAAAATCAACGGCGATTTTTGTACTTATAATTTTTATTCGGTGCTCCGGGCGGATACAAGCACTTGATATTCGACTAGATATCAACATTTGTTAATTATTCGTTTACATTTGCATTTTTACATAAATACGAGTGCGATCAAATAGATTTAATATCTTGAAACTGAACATATTTGACAATTATAAGTAAAATATGAGCTTTGTAAAGTTTTCGCCGAGCACATGACGTCTTGTCACTTTTATATATCATGTATTTATACTGATTTATACTAAAACTAATAAAACTTGGAATTTTCACTACAATGACCATGATAATTACGGATGAAACGAATATCTAACCTGAGAAATCATAACAATAATGCTGTTTAATTAAATATGTATTAATTAACAATAGAGTTTAATACAATTTTTAATAAAAAAATTCTTTGGGCATTTTCGATTAGTAAATTATATAATATATATTCTATCATCAGTTAAATATGTAATATATTGTTTTGCGTTAGCTAAAAAGTTGGAGCTTCTTCCAAACGATTCTGTTTTAGTACTTCTTGAATGAGAGGGACAAACGAATGAAGCGACCAAGTAGACTATAGATTTCCCCAATTGACCGAACTTAACTTATAGTAAACCCATAATATATTGCAGTTTGCAGAGATACGTGTACCCGATATTAGAAAAAATTCCCTAATATTATAATCCTGTACCTCGGCTTCGTTCTTTTAACAATAAAGTTACATATTATGCTCAAATATTTTGAGTTTTACTTCGCCAAGTTTAAAAAGTGTTTCGTTGTTCTGAAACAACATACTTATATCATATTGTGTGCTAAGCGGTATTGTATTCAAAAAAGTTTGCAAATCATCTTTTATATATTTGTATATCACTTAAGTTATATTATTAACAGTCGTTAACATATGAAAAGATATATTTATGTGTCATCTCATTCAAAGTTTCAAAATGTAGAATGTATGATTGCAAATAAACAGTTTTCCATGTATGAATTCATGTTTTTATCTTGTCCCTAATAACCACCAGTTTAAGTAAACAAATAAGCACTAGGCATTAACATGGAGGTTTTATCTATAAAAATATAGACGTGGAAGTTCGTTAACTACTCACTTATTTCAACAATCTACAGAAAAGAAAATTTGAATTTATTTTTGACTGAAAATGAACGCGACCACAGAACCACAGAACATACACAAGACAACGTTCTAGTGACTCCATCTAGTATTACTCGCCAATATTGCTTATGTAGTTAAATAAGAGGTGTTTTTTATGTAACGGTTTACCTCACATATCTAATATGTCCCAGTATGAGTTTGTACATAATATTTAAGTAATTACCTAAATATAACCGATTACTTTTGTGTACTACATCTCACAATTAATAAAAAAATGCTCTATTCTTAAAAATATTCTTAAAAACTTACAAAACCAGTTTTATTTTAACAGTTACATCTCTAACGAATAACAATGACAATAATGACAGGATGACATGACATATGACATCACTGTTGTTGTCTAATGTCTGTTGTTGTAACTTTGTTGTCTAGATATCCCTAAAATTGGTATTTTTCGCAAACTCCACAAAAGTATAAATGTAGATACACATTTATTGAGATTTTCTTTCATCGGACAAGTTAAAAATTATTTATGATCGTCACACATCTAAAGAAATTATAATGGATAGAGTTGTGTTTATTTCAAAATGGTGGGTGTTTGCTTTTGGGTTAACATAATACTTGTAATAAATTTATGCCTGGCTAAACCGAAAGATTGCCCTATTATATGTACTTGTCTGGGGCAATATGTCGATTGTGGTTCAAAAAAGTTCGAAACAATCCCTCTGAACATTCCCAAGTGGGCAACGCACTTGTAAGTTATTTTGTTTATTTTTATGATATTGTTTATTAATTTATGTAACATTACAGAGACCTACAAAATAACAATATAAAGAATATTACTAATGTTAACTGGAAGCATCTTTCGGGATTGAAGGAATTAATATTAAACAAAAACAGTATTGTTTCTATTCCTAATGATGTACTTCAATATCAATCCCAACTTAGGATATTGTGAGTTTTCAATACGTTTATTCATAATAATAATTTTACACATTTGTAATCTATTTCAGGGAATTAAATAGGAATAAAATTAAAGCAATAGAAGCTTTGAATTTTAATTCCTTAAAAAACTTGAGTACACTGAAACTTAAACGAAATCACATAACCGAACTAAAAGATGGAGCCTTTTATGGTCTTGAGAAAATCGAAAAACTGTAAGTATTTCGTATAGATAATATGGAGTGACTTAATTATTTAAATTTTAGATTACTGGATTATAACTATTTGAAAATAGTATCGAAAAGTTGGCAATATGGGTTAGAGACATTAAAAGAACTCTCCATTAGTCATAACTACATTGAAAAAATTGATGATGATTCTTGGGAATTCTGTAGAATTCTCTCTTTACTGTAAGTTTGAAATAATTATATTCATTTTCTGTTAACATTATTTATATTTTAGGGATTTGTCATTCAATAAACTAAAATCGATAGAATCCGATACATTTAGAAATCTCGATCAATTACAAAGACTTTTCCTTAATAATAATAACATAACATTTATTAAAGAAAATGCTTTTATTCACTTACCACGATTGCGATTTCTGTAAGTATAAATCAAGTTCAATTATGGATATTCCTTCGAAATTAAAATATTCATTTTTAGGAATTTAAGTAACAATAAAATTTACTGGACCGTTGAAGATGCTAGTGGTGTCTTTCAAGGTCTTAATCACCTAGCGAAGTTTCACTTAGCTGGTAATAATATTAAAACAATCAACGCTGATGCCTTCCTTGGTTTAAAAAATGTTACTTTCCTTAATTTAACTAACAATAATATTACCACCATTCAAAACAACGCATTTGCAGAGATGCCCCTTTTGAAGGTAACAAGAAGAAATAATGAATAGGGTTATTGATAAACTATTTACTATTTTAGGAATTAATCATCAATACCACAAACTTATTATGTGATTGTAACTTGACGTGGTTCATCGATTGGCTTAACTTAAAGCAAATGAAAAACCAGTCTGCTGTGTGCCTTTACCCTGATTGGTTAAGAGGACAATCATTGCTTCAAGTGACAAGTAACTTAACTTGTGGTACGTTTATTAAATTCGTTTTGATTTATTATGATATTAATAATCCGATTCGCAGATGAACTACCCAAACCAAGATTAATCCAAGAACCAGAAGCTGCAATAATGGCATTGAAAGGGGAAAACATACAATTAAATTGCAAAGCAGTATCAAGTGCTTCCAATACAATGACTTTCATTTGGCGCAAGGATAACGTTGAAATTTTCAATCCGAATGTCAAAGTAAAATCCAGGTCTTACGGCGATGGAAATGCAACAGAAATAATTTCAATACTGAACCTGACTGATATTGAAAACAAACATGCCGGGAAATACCAGTGTGTTGTATCGAACAGCTATGGCACAACCTACTCCCAGAAAACCACAATTTCCGTTCTCGTATACCCCGCTTTCACTAAAGTGCCCAAAAACGTAACTGTACGTGCTGGAGAAACGGTGAAATGGGAATGCGCTGCAACCGGTGAACCTCCTCCTGAAATAGCTTGGCACAAAGACGGTGGAAACGATTTCCCCGCTGCTAGAGAAAGAAGGTAAACTACTCGTTACAACCATTTCGCATTACAATTTACACTGTTTTGATTTTAGAATGCAAGTGATGCCAATGGACGATGTCTTTTTCATAGTTAACGCCAAGCCAATTGACGTGGGCATGTACAGTTGTACAGCGCACAATCCAGCAGGCATGATTTTTGCTAATGCTTCTTTAATAGTGGAAGAAAGGCCTTCTTTGGAGAAGAGAATGATGGATAAAGAAGTGTCTGCAGGGGAGCACATTGTTTTGCAGTGCAAAGCAAGAGGCATACCGAAACCTACGATCACTTGGCTGAAGGATGGAGAATTAATCATACCCACTGAGAGGCACTTTTTTATTCACGATAATCAGATGGTGATTATTGTCGACTCAGTGCAATCCGATTCGGGGAATTACGAATGTTATTTGAATAATACAATCGGCGATGAAATTGGGAGAAGCCGAATTGTCGTTAAACCAAGTACGTATTTTATACTATCACAAATCGAAAACTAATTGTGTATTAAACGTTTCAGTTACTTATGAAAAATCCAACATGATGGGAATAATCATAATTTCCGTTGTATGCTGTGCCGTATTAACCTCCATCATATGGGTTGTTATCATTTACCAGACGCGCCGTAAAATCGCCACGCCGGTGATGCAAACCGAAATGCAGGAGATTCCCGATCCGATGGACAGGTCTCGTACGCATCAGCTTCAACACCATCTCTATCCTGACAACGTGTCCGATCAGTCATCGTGCAAAGACAGCGGAACCGGCGATTCTGCGAAGAGGAGCAGCGATAATTTGGCACCGGATGAGTTTACTGCAGTCAATGATTCGGACGTGGAACCCAACAATTCGCAAATACCGCTCCTGCTCTACCCGACTAATCATAATAGGATTGTACCTACGACTTCCAGCGCCTGCGATGCGTCACCGAATTGCGAAGATGTTAAGGTTGAGTAAGTTTACTGCAAATTATTTTACTGATAAAAATGTCGTTCTTCTTTCTATGCCAGATGAATCCCAAAAAAAGGTGATTCGAATGTTGCTTTGTGTAATTCGATTATTTATTTTTTATAACATTAAAATTGTATTTTATTTTAATTCAGCTTTAATTACTGTATTTTGTTAACGTTTATGCATATAATATCTACAAATAATGTATTTATTTAATATTTAGAGTAGTTGCTACTGTTGAAACAAAAGTGTTAAATTTGCCAGTGGTAAGAGAAGTATCGTCATTCGAAGTTTAAATTGGAGTCAGTAAAAAAATATGCTATTATTTTTCATATAAGTAGACTGATTATACTTTCTTCACCTTTGGGATAACACAGGTCCACTGATATTTTGTTTGTTAAATAGTCTGATTTTTAGTTATTTACATTATTTTTTAAGGAGAAGTACTTACCTAGTACACAGTGAAAAGTCTGTAATGATGGGAATTGACTAAAATGTTTTTTTCTTGTATCCATAGAATCCATTAACTTAAAATTTTTGGACATTTGGAAAGTTCTTCATATAAATATTTTATATTACTGTAAAAAGTAACAAATTCTTAGTTTCCCAGTGTTCTTAATTTTTGTTCTATTTGAATATTATTGGAAAACATTTTAGAAGATCCGTTTTTATTAATTCCTGCCAGTTAATTATTAAGCCCTTAAGAATTAGAAATAAAATATTTATAACCGCATTTTACCCATAAAAAGTATTTTAAAGTTTTTAAATGAGTCCCAGAATCAATGCATTTTTATTTTCTGGAAAATATGTACAACAATTAAAAATGTTGCTTGCAAATGCGTTTATTCTGTGATATACTCACACAAGTACCACTTAGAAGCAGCTTTTAGTCTTCCGTCCAAATTAAAAGCTTTGTTTCCTTCCATACGTCTAAATTCTAAAATATATTTTCATATTTGCTATAAAGTATTTCAAAATTTGTTGAAGAGAAATCATATTTTTGAAATCGTTATAAGTGTTACCAAAAATGTATTTCGAAGTATAATGTTTAAACACAAATTTAACGACCGATTAGAAAATATACATTCGTTTCCTAGTAATCAGGATGCTAATGTAACATTTTGTGCCTTGATTTTTAATAACAGTAGTGTGATAAGGTAAAAACTGGAATTTGATTCGGGACATTTTTTAATTGCAAATTCATCAATTATGAACGGTACTTTCTCAATTATTTTTAGTTCCTAATTATTTTGTAACGAAAACTACTTTCTTAAAACGTATTTTCACTTTTGTGATATATTTTAGTAAAGTAAGATAACACATCGCGCCTTAGAACGTATTTTCAAAACTTTTTATTATGCTTATAGCTTGGAAAGTTATGTAGTAAAAATATTTTCAATATTACCATAACTTTTTTCCTATAAGTGTTGTAAATAACTATTTTCTTTTGTGATATAATAAATACGGTAATAATGATTAGTTTTAAGAATACTTTACTGCTTTTATTTTATACTATTGACTTTTATACTTATTAAAATTGATCAATAGTGCCTTTACGCGAAGAGTAATTAACATTATGCCTTACATGAAAGTACATCAGTATTTATTTTTTCTACTTATAATTTATTTCTTTGGCCTATGCTTTCATTCAATTTACAAAAATAATTTAATATAGGTTTGCATTTTTACTTATGGCGTTTTCATGTATTGTGTTTCATGTTCTGAAGATCAGAAAGATTTAATGTCTTCGTCAGTATTGAAGTATTATTCGTCATAAAATCGTAACGGAGGATTCCTAGATATTTTTATGCCTTTAACAATTTAAAGTATAGTCGTAGGCTAAACGGGAAGTAACGTTTTAGGGTTTTATTATTAACAATAGTAGTAAAGTATTCGTTTGTAAATACTTGTGTGTAAGACATTGATATTAAGCCCAAGTGATTATGTAACGTAGTGATTGTAAATTTTTTGGTTTTAAATTTTCCAGTATATTTTAAAACGTGGAATTATACGTATTTTTTCGCCATTATATTGTATAAAAAGTGTCAAATTTTGTCCTATTAGTGCAATTTTTGATGCCTTTATTAAGTTTGTATAGAAGTGTGCGAACCAAGTCGTCCAAAGTCTTCAATAAAATCTGAATTCTTTTCTCCACTATAGATTATTTTTCTCAATGTATTCTCTTTCGATATTATAGTCCGTAAATACCGTCCAAATATTTAAGCAGTACAAAAGTAAACTGGGCGACAAACATTTAAATAAGGTGACCGGGAATTTAGTTAAATATTTGGCTCGCACAAATTTTATATGCAACTGTGTGTATATACTTGGGGCATGCGTATGTATTAGAATTTCGATATAATCGTTATATTATGCTTGATATACACAAAGTAATAAGTACCTGTGTATTTGTAATCTAATTTATTTTATAGTTTAGACTTTAGAATGATCTAACGAGGTTATTTATTTAGTTGTAGAATAAATACTAAGTTTTAAGTTATATTTTCGTTATTAGATAGTATTACTAGTATACCTCAGTACTAAATTTATTTGTCCAAAATACATTTTTTTACAAATGATAAAGTATTTTAATAATGTGCTACATAAGCCTTGTGAGATTAGGTGTTAGAAAAATGACTAAAAATTATAAGCAAAATTGTTCTATTTATTAAGCTAAGTAATAAAATGGATATTTAAAATATACATAATATATATCACGATTATAAAAATATATTACGAAGAACGTGGTACTTTGTTCCTTAACACTAGTGCACTTTCTGCAGATATGATAGGCAAAGCATTTTCGTAATGAAACTCAATTAGATGACTAACACTATTAAATATTCTGTCTTTAGTCCTGACCTAAAAAAAGAGATTAAAATTAAAGAAAATTATCAACATTTTGAAAGGCAGGAAGTTGTGGTTGAAACAAATCAAGTAATTGTTGAATGTCTGAACAGTCTACTTACAATTCCTTCAGGGTCAATCAAAAGCAGATGCTTCTTATTATTGTCTTGCATGCCGGAGAGAACAAACTGTCTCTCAATAGTATTTGTAGACTCTCTAACCAAAAAATCCCCATCTTTTTGAAGCAGATTTTCTGCTTCTGCCCTGCTAATCGGTCCGTGGAACCACATTTCATTTTCCAATTTACTTATTGGATCATCTCCCTTATCATACATTGCTCCTGCTGTTTGTGTATAAATAAAGGGTTCTGTAAACAATATAACCTATTAACTCGATTTGTTGTTCAACAACTACTAAACTTACGCATGTCGAATATATCCCTTTCCCTCCCCAGCATAACTCCATCGTTAACGTAATCATGGTGCAGACTCTCGAGTAAAGTATCGGCATTTAAATCAATTAAATTTGGAGTTTGTACAGGCGGTAAAGTTGTGAGAGGAGTCACTAGAGATGGAAGTGGCGGAACGGGAGGTGGTTCGCACACATCCGGCGGGACCTTCCCTGGTAAATCGTTGTAATAATCCTTTTCTGCATCGCCTCCTGAGGATCCAGAAAAATGACCAATTGTTGTTCCCAAACTAAAAATATTCAGAAAATGAAAGTTATCACGTTACACCTAAATCTCTACTGCTTACCCTACAGGGGCCTTGTTTGCAAATAATTGATACCGTAATTCAAATGCTTGTCCTATGGTTGATATTACATCTTTAGCTAGGCCTCCTCCACATTCGAGCACGTAACAAGCCCTTAATTCACTTGTGTCTTTGGCGATATATCCTACAAAATCCAGGGTGTCCTAAAAAATGAACATCGAGGTTGTTTATTACAAGCCACTCGTGTATTTGGATACTTACAGCATCTCCTCCTGATGCAAATGAGATTCTTGGCATTTCATGACAAGCAATAATTTGATTATTATCGAGACATGTAAGAGTTAAATTTGTGCTTGATACATTCAGATTCACGTTTGATCCGGAAAAATTCAAGTTGGGCACTTCAGCTATCGCTTTCAATACTTTCTTGTCCACTTTCCTTTTTTTATCTATGTTTTTTAGTTTCGAATATTCACAAACTCTGTTTATACATTCTCTGAAAAAATAAAAAGCATGTAATTTAAAGGATACTTGTAAACAAAAGCTACTTACTTGGCAACGCTAGATCTTGTCTTGAAATTTAATTTTTTCATAGACACTTTTACTTCTAAGCAGCCCACATACTGGAAAAAAGCACAAGTTAATAGCTTGTAACACAATATACCATTTACAAACAATAATAATTAATTATTAATGATCGATATTGTCGTCAAATTACAAGCATTTTTTAAACCATTATATTTGAACTTTGTTAATCCAATTTTAAAAAGCATTAAAAATGATACGCATTACTTACTGTTACTGTGTATGTAGCCCCTTGTCTAGCTATTAATTTATCGGAATGAATCCACCCACCTGATGGCTTAATGTTAAATGCAGACATTGTTTTACTTTTACAAACTAATCTAACATTTTACAATCGATGTTTTGTCAAAGCACGCCACATAAATTGATAATATATTCATATTAAACAGTTTCGAAGCATTGTCACAAAATTATTGACCTATTTTAGATCCATTTAAACTATTTTTTAAGCACTAAACTCGATGTAATCATGCTGTAAACAGAATGAATCAATTATTTTCATGGGCGAATCTCATTCCAGTCTAAACTACTAAACTTTATTATTCATTCTCTTGTTGTGACACTTGACAATTTTGACAGTAAAAGTGAAACTAGATTTACGTTAGAAATTAACAGTTGGCAACCTTTAATTTTATAATTACCTCGCCCTTGTTACAGCGTTGCCAGTATGTGCATAAATTCCTAGTGTGTAAGATATCCATGAAACACTTCTTTCTCTGTGGAAACATAAGGGATAACTTACATTTTGTTTTAAGTTATGAATGTCTTGGAAAACGAATTGCTTTCGAATGTTTTAATTTTTATTAATAATTATACAATTTTATACAATTAATAAATAAAAGTTAGTTGCTAAATTATAGATTAAAAGAAATAGAACTCATTGTTAATAAATGTAAAAAACTATCCGTTTTTAAATAATGTATCATATGAAATACATACACAACACAATACTGGTAATGACTGAAAATCGAAAAATGTAATTCAAAAATTATTTTTTACATTGTACAATTATTTACAAGATTTATAGATTAGGTGCATTGCATTTAGTAACATATGCAAGCTTGTATAAGCTTCACTGGTAAAAATTACTATTCCATTCAAGAATTAACACCCATAAAAACAAGAAAAATAAATACGCTATTCCAACTATTACCAATTAAATATTGAGATTCCCAAAGAGCCCATGAAAAACTAAAAGAAATGTGCGCTTAAAAAATGTCGATAAAATTGTTTCCAATTAAATACAAAACCATTTACTGGTCAGTCGGAATTTGTTCTAGAGATCATTGTGGAAGTAAATGTTGGCAAGAAGTAACTCAATTTAGCATCTCAAAGGCGAAACCAACAATTGATTTTATTGAAGTTAAATTTACTTTAAAAACGTTACCAGCTGGGCAATAGTATGTTCTTGTGCAAGGGCAGCTAATTCTTTTATCCATTCGTCAAGTAACACAGCACAAAGGGCAACATGCTGGCCCTCATTAAATTTAGGGTACATAATATTGTACTGAACTTCTTCTGGAGTTGATGGTACAGGAACGTTGCTTTCAATTTGACTCGGTCTTCTACCAAAGAAATTGCTAATAGGAGGAATGTTCAGGCTTCTACGCTTTGGACTATTTCGTTGGAAAGGTTCCGTTTCGATTTTCTTAGACGCATGTTCAACATGGTATCTTCTAAGATTTACTAACATTATTTCTCGATCAACGAGAATGTCTCTTGCGTATTTGATAAGTTGCTGATAGTTGGATTGTTGGAACATATATTCGTCGATTTTTTGTTTCAATACACCAATTATCTGAAAATATATTGCTCGTTAATTTAACTGAGTGAGATTGGAAACTTTTCACAGTTTACCTCGAACATAGATGGCACATTAGGTTGAAGTATTAAACTATGATCTAGTAAATACGCTCTTAAAAGCGGCTGAGGATATGCTGCTAGTTTAGAAATCAAACCAGTTAGATGTAGATTAACATACAGAGAATTCGATAAATAGTTTTTTAGTTTCTTCATTAAAAGAAATAGAAAAGGTCCAGCTGATGAACGACAGCATTCGATATCGCTTATTTTTGTTGGCACAGCAATTTCCTTTTTATGCAATTTAAAACTCGAAGGAGTTTCCCAGTATTCTTCAGTTGATCGTGACTCATCTGCAGTTACATTCAAGCTGTTATATCCGCTACTCCTTTCTAAACTAGTACTACTAGAATCTGAAAACCCGTAAATAAAATAAATAATATTTTTACACAAAGATACCAACCTGAAACAGAATCGTCTTCGCCAGTGTACGAATTGTTCCAAGCCATACAAGACATCTGGCATTGTGCTATCTTGTGCCTAGCATCGCATAAATACGCAAAATATTTCCCGTATAAACTTTGCTTGTGCTTCAAAATATATAATTGACTGTTCTCACTAAATTCCAGAGGATATTCTGCATTACAGCATTTTGGCGCCAGCGTCAATAGTTTCTCAAAACTTTGACAATGAGGATCTAAAGGTAATAACATGTTTCTTTGTGACAATATTAGGTGCAGGCATGGTTGTAAATACTTAAAAACTAACTCTAACATAAAATCTTCACAACAAAGATCGATTATTGACTCGAACATAGCCAGGGATACTAGAGACAGTTGTTGATTATCTGAATCTAATCGTTGTATTAAAATATCTAAAAATAAAGATTTCGTAAATATAAACATCAAAAATCATCTTGAATAAGACTTACTTAATAATTTCTCTCCATCAAAATCGATATTGAGCAAAAATTGGAGCAAAGAGTGAAGAAGTCCTGTATCGCTTACAGTCCGAATGATTAATTCCAAGTAAGCAGTAGCAGCTACTTGTTCGGATACTCCTGATTGGAGCAATGCTGGTCCTAACACCGGTATTAAAAATCCCCGGTACAAAAATTCCTGCAGTTGTTTCCTAATTATTAGATGTGCTACTTGCGCAACCGCGTTACTAAATTCTAGAGATGTTACGAATGTCAACAAGCCTTTTATCTCATTAACATCATCAGGTGTAAATCTATGCCAATCAGGTACTGAAATATCATCCAAAATGTTTGGTAACACAGAATATAGACCACTTAATCCCGACGCTAGTATTATAGAGAAATTAGAATGTTCAGCTATGAAGGTTGCTACTTTTTTGTTTTTCTTCGAAAGGGACATGCAGAGTAAGAGAGCATCTCGAGCTTTCATACCGATAGAATCTTCACGATGAACGAATGGTATTAACAAGGAGAATATAACGAAACTGAAAATCAAAACCAACCATGTTATTAATTTGAATTACTTATAAAAAGCCATACTTACTTTGGTACGTTTTTAACATCGTGAAAAAACAAATCGATGAATTCGACATTTTGCATTAGAAGAGCGCAAAGTTGATTTAATAAATCAACGAGCAATTTTTCCACTTCCTTCGAATACACCTCGCCTTCACAGGAAAACAGCAATTTGATCAACGGCTGCAAAAATGGTTCGTGTAGCAGTAAAATGTGCCTCGTTTGACACAACAGCATTTGATATATTTTTAATTGTTCACATCGTATTGCATCGGTGTATCTGAAATAATTCACATACTTAACCATTAATTTAAAAGATCTAACAAACATATTTTAAATACATTTCAAAGTTAACGTGTTTTATAAATACACTCACCTTCCTGATCTTGTGCTCCATTCGAACAGCTTTGTTAATATATTTTCAGACAGTAAGTATTCCAGGCATTTAGATGTAGATTGAGATACATGAAGCCTATCAGCGCGTTTAATATCATACAGTAATAATGTGGCCATTTGTTCCAAATGGTTAACAACTCCCAGAACATCATCGTGGGTTGGCAGTTGCTGTGTAAATGTTATTAATTAAAATTCAATGTAAACTAACCAGCAAAAATAGTCGTATTTACCTGCACTCTATTGAAGATTTTGTATATCTGGTGCCAATGTTCTTTGAAGCTATCATAACAAGCTTGAGGATCACAATCGTCCGAATTTATCAAAGATTTGGAATTTTTTGAAGACAACAAGGAGTTTATCCAATCCATATTAATGCATTTACGCTCATAGTGCTATTTTTAGGTAGTATTATTAATATATACAATTTTCTGTGTCATTTATGTACTTTATTAATTAAAAAGATATCGCAATTTAACGTGACAGATCATTGACAGGACCGTCATGACAACTGACGTTGACTTAAAAACAGAATCAGTAATGCCATCTTTCTAATTAGTAATTGATATGTTATGTAATGGGTATTGCCTAACTATGGACGAATTATATTTTTAAAATCTAGGAATATAAATAAAATCTAAAGTTACTAAATGAATCTATTAATATCTTTCTTTAACAAATCACCTGTTTAATCTTATATTAGTTCAATTACACTGTAAATTATATACATTTTGACCAGGTAACACTGATATTTATCATAAATTGTAACCTAGCTCTTGAATCCACTGTAAACCCTCTTTAGTATCTCCTAAAGGCTTGTACTCCAGTCCAATCCAACAATCATACCCTTCCTTGGACAGTACATCAAGAATATATTTAAAATTTAATTCGCCAGGTGTATTTGGTTCATTCCTGTTGGGAGCCTGAGCTATTTGAACGTGTCCAATGTATTCTTTAAGTTGTTGAATCGTATGAGTAATATCTCCTTTAATCAATTGGAGATGAAATATATCCAACATGAGTCTCAAGTTGGGGCTGTTTATTCGTTTAAGTACTGATATAGCTGAAAATTCAAAGGGTTATTTTGTTGCATTGGTTTAATGGTGGTGGTAGGTACCTTTTTCATAAGAATTCATGTAATAATTAGGTACAGAATAGCTGTTAATTGGTTCTATAAGCCCTAGTATATTTTCTTTTTCAAGAAGTTTTACAGCGTATCTCAAATTGTTCTCGTAAGCACAATCGTTGGCTTCTGTAGGGCATCCATCAAGTTTTCCTGCCATGATATGGATTCTAAAAAAATATATTTTAATCTAATTTATTACATGTTTCATAATCTTACTTTTTAGCACCCAAACTTTTAGCATACTCAATAGTTTTTTCTATGCTTGATTTAAACTCGTTTTCTTTGCCTGGAATAGCTGCGAAACCCAATTCACCTTTGGTTACATCCCCTACAATTATAGGAAAATGCAAGTAATACATTTAATAGAAATTTAATCTTTAATTACCTGTGTAGATATTTATGAGTATTTGCTGAATTCCAGCTGCATTTTTAGCTTTAACTACCTCATCTTTTTCGAATCCGAAAGGAAAACCAGTCTCGACAGCTTTGAAACCAGCATCTTTCGCTAACTGGTAACGTTCCAGTAAATTTCTTTCGGGAAACAGAAAGGCCAAATTCGCACAAAATTTCGTCATGTTAAGTCTACAAGTCGACGTTTATCATATTTATATAACTTCACAAGGATATTTAGTAGATAAGAGTTACATTTATTAAAATTATGGTTTTGAGATAACATTTTAAAATTATAAGAGTATATGAAGAATATGTTGCCAATATAAAGTTTAAGCGAAAGTATCAATCGAACAACGTATTTTATGTGATCTTACTTCTTAATCATAGTTTAAATCATGAGAAAATTCAACTTTTTTTTAAGTTATTTACAATTTATATCTGACAATTTTTCACTTTAAAACATTCTTCTTTTTATTTTTAAGTATTTACTAGTAATGAGGCCTTCACCTTCGTATTATTTCATTCTCACTTTTAATTCACACATTCAATTGAGTGTGGTAGACCTGTTTCTAGTAGCTGCGTTCCGAAATTAATCAAGCAATTTGCAATTTATTTTCTTCAAAAATGATATTTCTAGGCATAATAGGATTTCTGTGCTTACAATTATCGAATTTAAAATGATAATAACTCAGTCGGAAAGTGAAAATTTGGTAAATTGCAAAAAACCGTTTTCTACATTTTCTTCCAGAATAATATAATGTCAGAACGCACCCTCCATTTGTGAAAGCTGTGTTTAGTGGAGTCATTTTTTCAATACCATTTCTGATTTTTTAGCGTGTTGCCTTATTGTGAAGAATATTTTTAATAATCATTTAAATTCACTTGTTCCCTTAAGTTCATTTATATTTTTGGAGAAGGTGTTTATCTGCAATTGAATTCGTATTTGATGTATCCTTGAAGGTAAAAATCTTTTGTTTAACTACGTATAACACTAAAATTAATGAGTTATAGTATCCTGATGGTGTCCAATTTAATAAAATAATTCATCTGTTATAGTTAAAGTTTTTTCCTACTTGATTTTAGCTGCTTGTGGTGCATTAATTCGAGTAACATAACAAAATGGTTCGTCCAAATTTTCCAGAATATTGATTGCATATTGCAGTTGAGAATGTTTATTTTTATCTTTTCAGTAGTACACACGTTAAAATTTTTCCGCAGTGATTTTATTGCATCGAAATATAACTTATAATAAATTTCCTAGTTGAAATATCTACCTACTAGCCTACATTAGCTTATCTTCCATATTCTAACTACATTTGCATACTTTTTATTAATTTCGTCGAATTTTAAACATATTGTGAATTATTTTAATAAAATTGGCGATGATAGCTGATTCAAAATTTTTCTAACTTTAACTACAGTTATCAGTAAGATTTTTCGCCCAATCAGGATCCTGATAACAATTTATAATTTTCACCGGGGGGAGTTGTGAATTTCCGTCATTTTTTCTAGCGCATTTGGGATTCAGCAAAAGTCAATGACTTGGCTGGCCGAGTGACCCTTAGGTTGGCTCGATGTTTAATTTGTCGGTTTCATCAAATGTATCAGCATTCACCTAGAAGAACTTTGAATCGTATATTAAAGTTTGCGCATTTACTTTGGAGTTCCTTGAACATAAGCTCGCTTGCAATGCATGAATCGAGGAAAAGATATCACTCCCGTTCTAGATCGAGGTCTGAATCTCATTCGAAAGATAAGAGTTACGATCGAAAGCGGAATAAGAATTATTCCAACGGGAAAGAGAGAGATAAAGATGGCAAGCGTAGAAAATTGGAATCTTACGATAGTCCATTGTACCGGAAGTCAGTGAGTAGTCTGAGGGCGCATCGGTCTAAGCAGTACGAAAGGGGTTCCAGCGCAGAGAGACGGTACAAAAGGAGTCGCAGGAGGTCCCGCACATCGAAGAAACATCGTTATTACCACGAGAAGAAGAAGCATCGAAGATCCTCATCGGGGGAGTATAAGAGTTCGAGGATACCATCAGTGGAAGACGACGAGGAGGGACATCTTATCTACCAGTTTGGAGATATCCTTAAAGAAAGGTTTCAGATATTTGACACGCTCGGTGAAGGTACTTTCGGGAAAGTCGTCAGGGTTAAGGATTTAGATATGGATCACAATATGGCTTTGAAGATAATCAAGAACGTCGAAAAATACAGAGAAGCAGCGAAGTTAGAAATAAACGTTTTAGAGAAACTAGCTGATAAAGATCCTGACTGTCAACATCTTTGTGTGAAAATGTTAGATTGGTTCGATTATCACGGACACATGTGTATTGCTTTTGAAATTCTTGGACAAAGTGTATTCGATTTTCTCAAAGATAACAACTACCAACCGTATCCATTGGGTCAAGTTAGGCATATAGGATATCAATTGTGCTATGCAGTTAAGTTTTTACACGATATTAAGCTAACACACACTGATTTGAAGCCTGAAAACATCCTCTTTGTAAATTCCGATTACGATTTCGTGTTCAACGTTAAAAAAAGAAAAGAAGTCAGGAGAGTGAAGAGAACCGAAGTTCGTTTGATTGATTTTGGTAGTGCTACGTTCGATCACGAACATCACAGTACGATAGTTTCAACGAGGCATTACAGAGCACCTGAGGTCATATTAGAGCTGGGCTGGGCTCAACCATGTGATGTTTGGTCCATCGGCTGCATCCTCTTTGAATTGTATTTAGGCATAACTCTTTTCCAAACGCATGATAATAGAGAACATTTAGCTATGATGCAGAGAATTCTCGGCGAGATTCCCGCTCGAATGGCAAGAAAAACCAAGACTAAGTATTTCTATAAAGGAAAGCTGGAATGGGACGAGAAAAGTTCCGCGGGAAGATATGTAAGAGACAATACCAAGCCTTTACTAAGGTATAAACAATGTGACGACCCAGACCATAATGAATTATTCGATTTAATATTTAAAATGTTAGAATACGAACCGTCTGAAAGGATTACCCTGAAAGAAGCTTTACAGCATCCATTTTTTAATAAAATCCCACCCAATCAACGACTCTCTGATCATCGGACATCTACTAGGAGAGATAGAAGTTTATCGGTGTAAATTTATTAGATACTTAAGAATATTTTAACGAAAGTTCGATTTAGAATAATTAGAAAAATATTTATTTTTATGAAAGATTCTGTATTCTATGTGGTGAAAGATGGTTGTTTTTCTTAAATATTTTTGTATTTATTCTAAATTCGACAGAATACTTACTAAGGAGCTTAATAATAGCTTAGAGAATATCTTTTATATTTCAGGATTTGTTCAAGAGCACCAATTTAAAACATCATTAAGTATGTTCATTACAAAATTATGTGTAATTTTCTCTAATGCTAATGAATCTGTTTATTTTAATAGGTGTCCTTTTGTGACCATTGAAGAATTCTACTGTGCTGTATATATATAACGGCAGCCTTTACTACTTGAGGTAATAAATATGTTATAGATTTTTTGATATTGATTCCTTTTATTATTTCTTATAAATTTCTTAGTAATTTGTGTATATTCAATACCCTTTTATGTGCTGTATAACTAAATTTGAAATTTCTCTTTTTTTTAATATAAAATGGTTGGGATAAAACTGGTTCTAGTCAAATTACTTAATAAAGATAGTTTCGGTATAATATACTAATCATGTAAGTTAAATTTCAATAATCAATAGTATTTAATTGTGATTTTTAACTGCTAATTTACCTTTATTATAATTGTTGAAAGTAACTTTAAGAAATAAAATTGAATACTTATGCAAATAAAATTCTGGTTTTATCCTGGATCATTTTTAATGCACCTAAAATTAAACTATCTTTCTAAACGATCGTTTATTCTAAAGATGCAGGTTAAATTGTTATAAATAAAACTATCGATGCATTCCTCTTTTACATATAATTGGAAAACTCAAAGGGCTGGCTCTCTTTAAGTTTGTTGTGAGTTTAATATTTATCAGTGTTTAGCAAGCGATTAATTCAAAATAACATAGTAATTAATAGAATTAAGAATTCTGCTTACTAATATAATACAATCTTTTTTATAGGAGAGTCATTCAATTGTATAATTCATAATAAATGAGAGAATTTTTAATTCACATAAAAAACAAATTCTTAAGTAACAATTTCTTCAATGAGCCCTGCAGAAGATAAAATTGCATATTTGACTACATTTGTATACGTATATTGTGTGTTTTTTCTTTTTTTAAAAGATTTCAGTGATTTCCTTTCTGTTGTAATTTTGTAAATCAAGTTCTGTATAAATGTTTTATGTATATTTATTCTAAGCGATATTTCGCTGAAACATTTTATTTTATAGGGTAGTTACAGAATGGTAAGTGCTAGAGGTAAAAGTTTTTACATTTGAAGAGTCTCATCTAAATTCATTTTAACTTTTAACCGCTCGTTATAATATGGACAAGCCAGGCTTTTTTTGTGACGTGTTAAACAGGAATTATAATTATGTAAATATGGATGAGACTCTTTAGGAAAACAAAATTTGTTTAATATTTTGTTCTTTGGATCCTTTTTGCTGCGTAAAAAAGATTTCATTTTAAAACGTACTTGATTGATTTTATGTATTTATTCGATTTTGCAGATACCTCTTAACTGCAGTTTTTTTATGTAAAACCTTGGTAAAAAATGTATAATGTCAAAGTGGGTGATGGGACTTTACATAAAAACTTATTTGAAGAAGGATTATGGAAATGTTTGTAATAGTTGATCAAATGTCGTAAATTTTAACGAAAAATTGCTTTTAAATGAATATAATATCTTTCCCTAATCCTTTGTGTGTTGTGTACATGTAAATATAATAATGTGTCCTTAGATATTCATTCGTCTTGAAGAAACAATGAAAATTATATTTCAGGCTATTTCTTTGTATGGTCTACCTACATAATTAGAAATATTTATCCTACTATTAAAAGAGTTGCTATTAAAAAAAATTAATTTACCCTTAAAAACTCGTTTTATAATAAAAACAATTCACACGTATGTATACTGCAAATAAATAATTTTTTATAAGGTATAACACATTTTACTGTATTTTACAGTGTTTCTGTAACAATATTTTACAATTAGACCTTGTTTAAAATTAAATTTTGCTATACAAAAAATGTGTGGATGATGAGACAGTTCGTTTGAGTCAAGATCTCCATTAAACTATTCAATCCGCGAAAAAGATGCAAACTATTGATTTGCTAGTCATTCCAATTAACTTAATACTGCATCTTAAATTACATTTGTCCAAAATTGTGTCGCAAAGTAAAAATTTTTGTTACTTTAATTTGAAGCTATATTTTAATGTATTCCTAAGGCTGTGAGCATCTTGTGAATTTGTGGCTAGTTGAGTAGTTTTTGGATAGTACACGTGAAAAAAAGGAAGTGTGTTCATGGAAGATTCTGGAGTATTGTGACCGTCCAGTGAAATATTCTTTGTGGAGAATCAAAACGAAGTACAAGAGTTAACCGAAAGGAAAATAATTTGATGCTAGCTTTAAGGAAATTGTTGTATAAAAAGACACAAGTTTGGACAATCTACTAATTATTTCTCTTAAAGACGGTTTTTTGGTTGTTAAGTCACTTAAATTTGAAATTGTAAAGAAAAATTAATGGCTACAATTTACAGGGTACAAATAAATATCATCAGGACAAGAATTCCTTCGTTGACGATAATTATAAGAAAGTAAGTATATTTAATACATATAGAAAGTTTCGTAGCAATTCTGTTTATATTAACATAAGAGTGTTTAGTTTGTTTTAGATGACTGCAGAGCCAATTTCAAAACGGATCATGAATTAATAGAAAGTTACTTGCACACTTACACATTTTAAATGGGTAAGATTTTTTGGTAGATTAATTTGAAAATGATAACATACTATTTTTAGCTTACAAGATCACATAATAATATATTGCTTTATAGGTACATTTATTTAGAATTTCTTGAGCAGTGTTGCCTTTTTTGGAGCGAAAATTTATCGCAATTTCAGTGAGAACTCTTCAAGTTGTTTGCCGGATTTAATTTATTGGTAATCGAAATATTTCATTGTTTTTTTCTTATATTCCAGAGCACATCCGAACTGCAGTTGACCCTAATTAAAATACATTCTTTTAGGTCGAAAGAAAATGAATTAAATATTTAAAATAATGAGTTCCAATAAAAAATAATTTGAAAATGTGTTTATATATATTTTTTTTAACATGATTAAATTTTTTTATCATTTTAACAGTTTTATTAAAATCGTTTGAAAAATCTTAATTTCCCTCTCTAGATAAATACAAACAGTTAAAAGTAAAAAAAGGCCAAGTAAGTAAAGCTATTATTTACTATTAAAAAAATATTTTACGTGTATACAGATTAGTACAAATTTGTATGCAATATAGTTTATTGGTGCAACAAAGGCAACTTCTAATAGTTTCACATAAAGAAAAAAAGTGATATGCGACTTGGGCACTCTAACCAATTACTTCCAAAATTTTTCCTTGTTCAACTCGTAGAATTGACAAGCAAATTGGCTACTGCCCATATGTAGTAAGTGTAAATTTTTATGCAATATAGTCTATTGGTGCAACAAAGACTAGTCTCGCATAAAGGAAAATGTAAATGATATTGTGAGATTGCAACGTTCTAACCACTGTTAATTTACTAATCCTTTGTTCAACTAATATAATTGTTCATATTTTAAACAAATATGTATTTACATACATACGTATTTGTAGTAAGCTTTGTTAAACGTGTTGCATATCGCGTGGAAAGATTAAAAGGATTTTGTGTAATGGTGGTTGCATAACATTCAGCCGCCACACCCAGTACAATTTCGTATATAATGTTGGTAACAATAAATAATCCGAATCTGTCATAACATAACCTAACACACCCAATTTCAGAAAAGCAAAAATTCCACTATTTTTTTTGTATATTATTGATTAAACAAACAAGATAGTTTAATCGAACAAATTCCGCCTGCATTAAAAATTAAAGTACATGAAAACTGGACCAAAAATGACAAGCCAATTAGTAAGAGGTTAGAATTTTTAGCTTATGAGTAATACTCTTTCAATACCATTCTTAAGACTGATTAGAATTATGAGGATATTAAGATTTTTGTTCGCTTTATATACCATAAGGAGCGTAATTTCTCTTGAAAATGATTTTCTTGGTTGTTACAATAACTCTCCTGGAAAGGTCATATCAATAGAACAATATGTATCAACACCAGCATGTATCAAACTGTGCTATTCAAAGTACTATCGGTAAGTTACTATAAAAAATCTTAATAAGTTAGTATAATGAATTAAAAATTATAGATACTCTTTTATTGCAAAAGAAAGCAGCTGTTCATGTAGCAATTATTTAGGAGAACAAGTTTTTAATGGAACTTGTAATGAGTGTCATTCGTGTGACTACAATAGTAAAGCCCCTCCAGCAGATACCTACGCAACAGGAAATCTAGGTAATATATCAGTGTTGGAAACATTAAAAAGTTATAATTATATTATATTTCTTGCAGTTCCTGGTCCACCAAAAAACTTTGTAATATCGAACATAACAGAAAACCATGTAAGAATTACATGGCAGGAGCCGGAATCATTCATTGAAATTACCAAGTACCGTATAAAGGCAAATGTAATTCACACATATTCCAGTTATTCCACATACAGCCCCGAATGGACATACTCCAACAATACATATCAAACTGAACTGATTACGTTATTGCCTGCCACTAAATATAATATCACTCTGTCTACAATTTCTCCTGATGGTGACGGAGCGTTAGTTTTTAGAGTTATTGAAACAAAAATTGACAGTAAGTAACTTCCCAGTATCAGAAACAAATTCAAAACATTAATGCTTTTATTTTTAGCTCCAGATTCTGAACCGAATAAACCAGAAGTAGTCGAAAATAGAGGACAACAAATTGATATTAAATTATTGCCAACTTCCAACAACAATGGACCTATTACATCTTACAAAATTATTGTAGTTAATGAGGATTTGAATCAAGACTTCGATCCGTCTACCCTGACATCATATCATGAGGCAAACAGAAATCAACTTTCCTATTATGTAACAGCTGAATTGAGTCCTACGGTAAGTAAACTGATTTTTGGTTCAACATAATTTGAAACTAATTTCTGCTTTTTTAGGACATTACAAAAATATTTACCATTGGCGATGGTCAAACTTACGGACGCTATTACAATGCTCCACTAGAGTCCGATGTCAATTATAACATAATAGTAGCTCTTGTAAGCAGGTTAAATGGAGTTGAAAAAGTTAGATACAGCTCAGGAGCCATTACAGGAAATGGGGTATCTATACTTAATGTTTCTGACGAACAAATGGAGGGTGACCATCAAACTGTTATAATTGGGCTATCAGTAGCTATAGGTTTATTAACATTTATGTTAATAGTCGGTATTATTGGATTTATTATCCTGAAGAGCAGAGTAGTTAATAGAAGACACAGGCTTTCAGATAACCAAGAATTGACTCTTCAGGGACCTATGATTGAAGTTGTAAGAAATTAATCATAATTGTAGTTAATTAATAATCTATTAAAACATGTATTTAGGAAAATAATGGCTATATACATGAAGACGAACCAATGCCTGTAAATCACTATAGGAATCTGAAACAAAGAGTGAGGACAATACCCGTCAACCAGCTTAAAGTCGAACCAACTAACTTATTAGGTGTTGGAAGATATGGGAGAGTTAACAGTGCACTATTGCAAGAAAAAGACAGCGAAAATGTAATTCCAGTAGCAGCTTACACGATTCAAGATAAGAAGATGTCTCAAGAAACGAGAAAAACCATGTTGCAGGAATTGGATTTACTAATAAAAGTGGGAAAACATGAGAATACTGTAGAATTTTTGGGGATGTGTGAAACTGCACATTTAATATATATCGCACTAGAACATGGCTCATTGAATCTCAAGGATGTTTTACTAGGGAGTAGAGATGCTTTACCTGGAAGGTTTAGCAATATGTCTGAAAGTAGGGCTCTCGAAATAGCGGTACAAGTTGCTAGAGGAATGGCGCATTTGGATAACTGCCAAGTATGTTTATTATTTTTGAAAGTAGTTAATTTTGTATTCATTTTTGTTTTTTGTAGATAATTCATAAACAGCTATGTGCCCGTAGTGTAATTATTACAAGTAACAATGTACCTAAGATAACCAGCTTTGGTATAGCTCAGTATTTTAGCCATAATAAAATACCTGATTATACGCGATGGACAGCTGTTGAAGTTTTCAAGAACCATCCTTACAATAGGAAGAGTGATATTTGGTCTTTTGCCTGTGTATTGTGGGAGATTTGTGCACTAGGTAAGTTTTGATTTCAACTTTTTTGCTTTAAGATAATTTTTTTATTGCTTTCCAGGAGGCACCCCATATGGTTCTGTAGCAAACAATAATGAGATTCCAGAAAGGATTTTAAAAGGTTTACGACTACCACAGTTACAGTACATCGATGACGATCTTTATCAAATCATGCTGGATTGTTGGCAATTGGATTACGATGAAAGACCGACGTTTATGCAACTCGTCGACTCCCTGGAATATTTGAAACATAACACTCTCATACCTCATGTAAATTTCCAACTCTTTCCCAATTTCCAATATGAACAGTTTTACCCTGATATGGAACTAGCTGTTAGACCGATATTTTGAGATATTTTTTATATTTATCATATAAGGGTTAATTTTTAATTTTAATGTTTGGACATAAACGATACATGCTTATCTATTAAATGGATTTTAGTAGGGCTTAAGGATGAAAGCACAATATTTTTGTATTCGTTAGCATTTTGTTTAGGTCTTTGATATTTATTTACAACATGCCATTCCTTTTGATGGTAGCTTTTACATTCCATTTTTAATATTTATTTCGTGTATTAATAGTGATCCTTAATTTTTAGAATTGACAAAAACGTACTATGTATATTGAATTTTATTTTATTAGTGACCTAGTCATTTTATTTCAAAAAGGTATTTTTATTATTTCTATCGAACTCCAAGACTTATCTAGGTATAATTTACTGGGATCTCTATTAATATTTTAGTGCCAAGTAGTATGTAGATTTATTAGAAAGCATACGTTGGGTAACAAAAACTTATTTGTTAAAATAAGTTCCTAGCAACTTGAATTCGTTTATAAATTTTTACTAAACAATCCTTAATTGTTAAAAAATACTTCAAAATTTTCCTAATTTTGAAAAATTAAGTGAAATCTTAAAGGTGTTACCTGATATTTTGCTCTAATAATTTGTAATATTGTTTACATAGATCTGAAAAATCTTAGTTTTAATTAAATTACATGTATTATTTTGACATGACAAGTTTGGATTTATTAATTTATGAATCTCATTCTAATTTAACATTCCAGTGCAGCGTTTAAAATCAGTCTAATAGGAAGCAAACTGGTTGTGATTTTCATTTTATTTCCTTTATAGTTGTTGCTTTTAGTTGTATTGATTACATTAGAACTATGCATGGAAAGTGATGTTCAATATTTTATATAGGTTTAAGAATAGAAGGGATGTAATTGGATTTCTGAAACAATTTTAAATATTTATGCAAATAAGATTATTTTAAAGATTTATTTCAATTACATCCTTTATACAATATTTATTATTCAATAAAGTTGTTTAACTTTTTAAGGTAATTATTCGAACAATTTTTAATTTTAAAACTAATTCGTCCATGTAATATAAGCTAATCCTTATATAAGCACTTTAATAAGGGCTAAATTTATTGTGGTTCTACTTAATAGTAGGCATTTCCTTAAGTACTAAGTGGTTATGAAATATACAAAAATCGTAAAACCAATTTTGTTGTTCTTTAATTTATGCAATAAGTTAATTTTCCGAATTTCAAATCGCTCAAAAAATTTTTTTCCAAACAGGGTTAATAATAAACGAGTTAATATTGTAAGTGCTAGTGGATTAAATTCAGATATAATTTTTTAAATGAAATAAATTAAGGGATAAGTAACAAATTAGGTTTTTGTAGATTGTTACAATAAAAATGATGTTAAATTTATTAAATATGTACTTTATTTGACTAAAGTATCAGTACAGGACTTGAATGTAATACAAAAATTTTGCGTTATTATTTCGAGACTAATTTACGTTCGGGTTACTTATTTTAGATAACTAAAATTTTGCATCATATACTGAATTTAAAATTGTTTTTTACATTATCTTTACACGTACAATTTTGACATTAATTTACAAGCATAATTTACCTTATACCTAATTTTAAGCAATATGTACAGATACGTAAGAAAATTTGAAATTGAAATTGATTCAAATGTTCAAAGTCTTTTAAGTATTTGTTTAGTTAAGGAAAAGAACTTCTTTATTGAAAATGAGAAATTATTGCATTGAAAAGAATATTTTGAACAATATTTAAAATAACATGAAAGTGAACACATTACAAAATTTATCTTTAATTTCAAAATTAACAATACAGTGATTCAAAAGAAATCAATCAGAAACTGAATCATTTAATAGCTTTTTTATCACAGATAAAATAGTATGCGTTAACAAAAAACCAAGACCTCATAGTGATGATGAAATAAACGCCAAAAAAATTATAGATATTACTTTTAAGTCTAATAAAACCGCAAAATCCATAAAGAAGACAAGATAATTAACTAAAAATGCAAAGGGTCACATCAAATTTCATCTGCATAAAGATTGGATAGTTTTGGTTGCTTCCTTGATATCCGAAAGTCGCTGATGGGGAAGTATTTTTCCAAAGAACGGATGTTGTAAAGCATCTTTTAAAGTAATCCTTTCAGAAGGTTCATATTTGAGCATCCTCATCACTAAATCAAATAATGAATTATGGTCATCATCGTCTATTTGTCTGTATCTTATTAATGGTTTACAGTTATCCCTCACATATCTGCCAGCTGAGCTCTTTTCATCCCATTCTAATTTTCCTCGATAAAAATATTTCGTTTTTGTCTTCCTGGCCATTCTGACAGGAATTTCGCCTAGAATTCTTTGCATCATAGCAAGGTGCTCTCTGTTATCATGAGTTTGAAAGAGAGTAATTCCCAGGTACAGTTCAAATAAAATGCATCCTATAGACCAAACATCGCAAGACTGATTCCAACCTAACTCCAGAATAACCTCAGGTGCTCTGTAATGACGAGTCGATACTATCGTACTATGATGTTCGTGATCAAAAGTAGCACTCCCAAAATCGATCAATCTCACATCAGTTCTCTTTACTCTCCTCACCTCTTTCTTCTTTTTATTGTGAAACGATACCTCGTATTCTGAATCGACGAATAAAATATTTTCTGGTTTCAGATCGGTGTGCGTTAGTTTGTTATCGTGTAAATATTTAACGGAGTAGCACAATTGGTAGCTAATATGTCGAACTTGGTCTAACGGGTACGGTTGGTAACCGTTTTCCTTGAGAAAATCGAAAACGCTTAAGCCCAGCATTTCAAATGCAATGCACATGTGTCCGTGATAATCGAACCAGTCCAGCATTTTAACACAAAGATGCACACAAGCTGGATCTTTTTCAGCTAATTTTTCTAACACGTTAATTTCTAATTTGGCAGCCTCTCTGTATTTTTCGACGTTTTTTATGATTTTTAGTGCCATTATGTGATCCATTTCTAAATCTCTTACTTTCACTACTTTTCCAAACGTACCTTCTCCAAGGGTTCCTAGAATTTTATAACGCTCCTGCAAAACATCGCCTACACTATAGATTAGATGGCCTTCATCGTCATCTTGGACTGCTGGGACGTTGTTGGCCTTGTGCTCTTCAGGATGCGGACTTTTCTTCCTGCTGGTGTGTTTCCTTCTGGACGAAGTACCTTCGTGATAGCGACGGTTCTTTTTCGATGTAGGAGACCTTTTGTGGCTGCGCTTATACCGTCTATCAGCACTCGATCCTCTTTCGTATTGACGCGAACGGTGGGCCCTTTGACTGCTTACAGATCTTTTATACGGCGGACTTTCGTAAGTTATATCGATTTTTTTCTTATCCCTGTCATGGGAATCATTTCTTCTTCGTTTTTCTCGATTTCTATTTGTAGAATTTGATCTAGACCTACTTTTAGAATGGGAATAATGCCTTTTTCTGGATTTTGGCATTATGGGATGGCTGATGTTGTATATACTGTCCCAAATTAATTGTAAATGTTGCACAATATAATTCCAAGTTCTTTCTGTAGACACTTGGATTCCTGATACTGAGAAATTAAACATGGATCTCAGTCCACAGACTTTGTTTGGAAGATTAGTATTTATTGAATGAAAACCAGAACAGCCTCTTTGAAAATGAATGTTGAAGTAACTAATGAGATGTAAGCTAGTTGTTTAATCGGTTTGTTATGGAATATTTTCAAAATTCCACAGCTAAAATAAAATACAAAGTAGTTGTTTATAGTACTAGAATATTATAGCTGTGTTACCTTTACGTATTTAGTGGGATGGATTTAATTACTAGTATAGACTTTAATTTTGTGGTATAAGATTGGAACTATCCAGTACAAACACTAATTTCTTCTGAAAACTGCCGAAACAAGAACTAGTAAACATTTTACTGGATTCCAACCAACATACAAACGAAACTTACGTTTGAGAAGTAGGAAAGCGAGAACTATTTGACATCTGTCAACTGAGGCGTTTTGTGACAATTGACACAAGAAATTTTGTCAACCTCAAAAATTAATTGCAGAATTTTTTTGCGACGTTGTCATATATAAAATAGGTTTATGAGATAAGAAAATAATTAGTAAAAAATAAATAATTAAGAATTTATTAATTTATTTTATCGTGTTGCTATTTATAGGCATTGAAATTTAGTCCCAGCTAATGATCTTGAGAGAACTAATCATATTGTAGATAATGTAACAAAATCATATGTTCACTACATAATAAACGTTGTATGTTGTTCCTATATAGAATAGGAAACGCTTTTTATTAATATTCAATAAAATTTGGATTATTTCCATTATAATAGTTAAAATCAAAATTATCATTATCTTTGTTTAGTTTTCAGGTGCATGGACACTATCTATCTTTGTCAAAAACTTAACCTGTCTTCCTATCAGAGTCAGAACTGTCAAAATAAAAAATGGTTAATAATAAATGACCTTAAAGTATTTATTTTTACAAATAATTTAGGATTGAATATGAAATTGCAAATTTTGGGCTCAATCTAGATCTAGAAAGTTTCTAGTTTCTAGTAAATATGGATAAATCCTGTGCTAGTTAAGGTGAGTAAAATGGTAGAAAATTAAAAAATAAAACGAGAAACAATGGCATGCTTTTGAAATGATTATTATCGGTGAGAAAGCAGACACGTTATTAACATTCTCGCATTCTAACTGTTTTGCGCAATACCGACTGTTTTAAGTGCTATTCTTAATAATAAATCACATGATAATGATATTCGGCAGAGCGCTTTAATTGGACTTATTTTTCTTTTGTTTGCTGATAACTTTATTAACTATGACCTTTCTAGAGATAAATGACCTCTATGAAGAGGACGTTATGGGTATATAACTGGTAATTTAACTTAAATCATTTGTAGTTAGCTGTAGAACAGTGGCCGACACAGTGCTTTACACACGACTCGTATAATTTTGTTCGTTGTTATAAATTTCATTTCTCCACTTGTATTGTGCGTGTCTTAAGTGTTGTTTTAGTTTATTCTGTGAATTAATTTTGTGAATTTTTCGATCTGGCAGCACAGGGAGGAATGCTGAGTACTACAAAGGACTGTCTGGGACTTAGAATTCGCATCAATTCTCTTCACCAAACCTGGAAGTGGTTGCATCAAACCATCGCCGTTCACGACTATCTTATTGCCTTAACATCTGCCTCTAAAAACGTTTGCTCGAGCAATTTTTTAACAAATTAAAGTCGTTTTTAAGGGCACAACACCTGCAAGATTAATATTACTCGAAAACTGTACGCAAATAACAAAAAATGGCTTTGATACAAAGATCATGTGTGAGAGTGAACGCTCTAATTTCCCGTATAACAAAAAACTCTTATTCGACTGCATCTACTAAGCAGGACAACATTAAAAAGTCTGTATTCATATCTCAATCGAAAGATATTTATACAAATCTTGCATTGGAAGATTGGCTGTACAAAAATTATGATTTCACAAACAATCACGTACTGATGTTATGGCAAAATGATCCTTGCGTCGTCATCGGAAGACATCAAAATCCTTGGTTAGAAGCAAATGTCAATAACTTACCATTAATCAGTGAACAAGGGGTTCAACTAGCTAGAAGAAACAGCGGTGGAGGTACGGTTTACCACGACAATGGAAATTTGAACCTTACGTTTTTCACGCCCAGAGAACAGTACAATAGAAAGTACAACTTAGAAATCATCTCCAGAAGTCTATTCAGAGAATATAATTTGAGAGTGGACATTTCCCCGAGAGAAGATCTGGTTATCAGAGAATATAAAGTATCCTTTTTTTTATTGATACAATTTATTGGTTTTGTATAAGCTGATGTTTAGACTACTTTCAATTTTTTATCTTGCTTTGTTTATCATACTTTCCTAGAATAATTAACGTCTAGACAATTCAAATTAAATAGGACGCAGTTAACCACACAATGGTTACTTTTTATTCGGTTTGAGTACAAGTGAAAGTCAAAGGTCCTCTTTGTTATTGGTTCCAATTTGGCCATGTATCAGCTTTGTAACGGTGACAGGCATATTTTAAAATAGATATTTTTTTGTCAACCAAAAAGTTTCTCAAACTTTTTAACTCTTTATCTCAACTCCATTTAAGTGGACTCGTTTAAATGGAATACATTATTATTATCTAACTTTTATAATGATTGTGTTGGCTACAATGGTAAACAATATTTTCCTTAAGTTATCATAAAGCAGGTTTCGGGAACAGCTGCGAAATTGGGAAGAACCGCCGCTTATCATCATTGCACGCTTCTTGTTAATGTCAACAAAGTGGACCTTAGCCTGGCCCTTCAAAAACCAGAGGTAATTATTCCAACGAAGTTAACCAATAAATGACTAATGAATTACATTTAGGTCGATATAAAAACTACTGCCACGAAATCAGTAAAATCTAAAATAATGAATTTATGCGAAGAAAATCCTCGCGTTGAAATGAAAAACTTAATGAAAGCCGTAGGATGGGAATACATGCGAACTGATCCTCTAAAACTCATAGATGGTGGTAAAGAATTAGCCAATAACCAAAATGGCTTCCAGTTGATCAATCCTACAGACGATTGGTTCCCAGGTAAATAATGTCGTTGTAGTTTATAAAGTATATAGCTTAATTTAAATTAATTTTCATTCAGGTTTAAATGAAATCAGAAACGAGCTAGTTAGCTGGAACTGGCAGTACGGCAAGACTCCTAAGTTCAACATAATAAAATCTTTTAAAATTCCTGAATATTTACACGAAGGATACGATGTCAATGAAGATTTGAAAGTGACTATGGAAGTTGAGAATGGCAAAATAAGTGATGTTGTTCTGTACATACCACCTGGGCTTTCTACTAGCGGTTTTTCGGGAAATGCTAACGTTATCACAAGTCTTATAGGTCATTCATTTTCCGACGAAGCTTTAAGTGGCTTAGAAATGATGATAGGCGGATTAGTAAGTGAAAAAGATAGATTCGTTTCCGAGTGTTTGAAGCAAGTAATGATATCGGTTTGATTAAAACCAGACAGGACTAATTGAACATCTAAATGAATATACATTATTCTTCTATATTTTCAATTTCTCCTGTCTCTAGGGGATAGTGTTACTGTTACTAAATTTTTAATAAAACTAATATATTTGCCAGTTTTTCAGTGCTTAATGTTTAAGCTGTTATTAGGCTTAAGAAAATTAAATGTTTGTATAACAATTTTATTTGTAATTGGCTTTTTCTTTGGAAACTAATGTGTGGTGACATGCAACAAGTAGACTGAGTGTTCAACGTCAAATTGCATAAAATTAGTGTAAAAACGAAAAAGGACCTTTATTTTGTGATTGGATTTTTCTAATTTAAATTCGTATTTTTGAAATTTTATGGTTAGATATGGGAAACATGTAAATTTTTGTACAAAATTATATTTTTGTAAAATGTTTCGTTGTTATGTTTGTGATTTGTGTAACAGAAATATTTTTAGTGTTAAGAGAACCGTAATAACGGTTAACAAGAATTAATCATATCATTTATGTATTAATACATTTTTTTAGTATAGTTTAGTTTATTGTGTAGACTTGACATATGTTCAAATTTGCCACTTATATATCAAGTTTTATTTTTTAGCGCAAGATTGTCTGCGGTTAATTATTTTATTAAATTCAAGCTCCTTTTCTTTAATATCCTGTATCCTACCCGAAAGTAGCACTCCAGATTTACTTTGTTTTTTTCATGTTGTATTATTTTGGAGCTGTTGTGCCTTATATTTTATATAATATGTTATAGCAATAATAATTATATTTTTAAGTTTAATCAATAAAATTTTTAAATTTAATATTTTTGTTTTTTGTATCCTTCCAATTAATTTTGAGAACTTATGTTTGATGAACTTGTATAACAGTTCTTGAACTTATTGAGATTACAAAAAATACTTTTGGTATTATATTTTTTATTAATTTAGGAATGAGTAGCCTGAATACTTTACTAATAAAATTAATGGAAAATATTATTTTTTCTTCATTTCTTTTAGCTATAGAATATTGTGTATATGTTTCATTACCTTTTCCCATACATTCCTCTCCGTTGAAGTAGTTCCAATGATCCTGCGTTTATTTTAGTCCTTATCTCTCTTAAGTCTTTTATGCAGAATTTTTAACCACGAGATAGAGACAGAACCTTTTAATTTCTAATTGTAGCATTCCATAAGTTTTATCTAAGGTTACAGAGGTTGAGTCGCAAACCAGTCAGTCATATTGAAGAATGTAATCACGAGTGTTTACAATTTGGAGGAAATTCATGGAGTCCATGGATATAGGTCACAAAAAGGCTCGGATCAAAGTACACTCTTGCATATAAATAGAAATTAACATGAATTCGAGACAAATATTTTTTTAACAAATAATTTACGTGTGTACAAAATTATTCTTAATTATTTCCACACAGTTCATTTTACACATTTTCTTATAAATTAATTAAATCGTGATTTGGGATTTTATCTTGAATTTTTGTTATAAATTTTGAACCAGAGGTCAACGGTCTTTATCAAACATTAATATTTTTTAAAGCTAACTTGGCGTATTTATTTGAAGTCCGATAGGCCTATTACGAGTTATTTTACAAATAATGTATATTGCAACATCGGACTTTAGAACTGCTGGGTATTTTGCGAACTGTCCCAGACGAGACAACCACATACAAACCTTGTATCCAAGGACGACTTCAGTGGACGAAAAAAATATATTTAAGATGCAGGACTGTGTTAGAACAGTAGGTGGGCATAGCAATTCCTTTCACCAGTAAAGGGCCTTAAAACAAAGACGAATATCTCGACGAACTTATTTTTAAATTTGCATTTAATTACGGTTATTAGAGGATTTTTTAGGGATATGAAATAAAACAGCATTGCACATGAACAAATATTTATTTATGTCGTATGGTACTTATTAGACAATCAAAATACGATTTGTAATTTGGATTTAGCTAACAGCTTATTTAGCTTATTTAACTATCCAAATTATGAAAAATACACGTGTTAGTCCAAATTGTCGCCTTACTCAGACACCCGAATAAAGCTATTATTTCTTAATTTTGGTACACTCAAGAGTAGTATTTTAAAGTTAAGGTACTCGATTAAAATGTTGAATCCACTGGTACAAACGCCTGCAATTTTTTTACTGAACGCTTCCAGTTCTTTTCAATTTTTTAGATACTTTGAAAATGATTAGTATCCTTTTCACGGCCATTTAAATACGCTATCTTTCTAGAATCTTTTTCAATAATAATACCAGACATCTCTCTACAGTTGGACTAAAACTCTAAATTCGCAGAGATATCCTTCATAAAAACGAATTTTACGTAAGAATCTTACTTGGAGATGTCAGCAAAAAGCTATCTTATTTATGCTTATATAAATTCTCCGATTGAGATTTACTTTAATCGTGGTAAATATTTCGCAATCATTAATCCAGACTCTTTCTATACGGGGCGGTGGTAGGTACCCAATCATTCGATCGAAAAATTCATAACATAACCATTTTATCATATTTATTATGCATATTGCATAAGTACATGAATCCAACATTTTATGTTATGATTAAAGAAATAGATATGAGATTACATGCAAACACTGAGAGCTCTACTTTTGGTTATTTGGTTAAAATGACCAAAGAGATAGATTACTACTCAGCATCATAAGAATTAAGCGTAAGTATTCTTGATATACTGTTTGAACATTTAGATAGTGCATGCAATTTACTTCATAACATGAAGTGAGTACATATATTTGACAATTAAACACCATAACATCGACTAGTAAAATACGTTGTAACTTATTTTAAACACACTTATCTTTTTTTTTATCATTTTTCTTGTGGTATATAGAGGTACAATACAGGGCTCAATTTGTATTATAGTTCTAGCACCGCTTCAATTTTTTTTCACATTTTAAAGCAGCATGACTTATTATAATCTACACAGCAAAGTAATGAATAAATAGATAAATATGTAGAATATATGTTGTATTATTTATAATTCTATTAAAAACATTTAATAACATCGATAAACACGGGATGCTGGGTGTGATGTTAGTAGGAGTTCAACCAGTTTGTTTTGGTGGTGTGTCTAAACTAGAAGAGACGCTGTTGAATACCACGAACAACAAGGATATTCATCGTTTATACACTTCAAATACATCAATGGATGATTTTGTCAAACAGTGCACATTTGTCTGATGCTCATCTTGTTACCTTGGTTGAACGGATTTTATATGGGTTGTTGAAATGAATACTTAAGGGTTGTTGTACGATCTTCATTGATTAATTGATTTATGTATTACTTATTATATTGAGTAGGAATGTTTTTTCCATATTTAGTAAAAATAAAATTGTAATTAAAAATTATATAACATAATATCATTTAGCTTGAAAGGTAAATATTATTCTAAATACTTAATCTGAATGGAAAACAAACTACAAATTATCAGCCTAAACATTTGTGAAATTGTATGTAAAAATTAATATGCTGCTAAAAATTAAATTAGGAATTTTGGTTGCGTAATCAATCGGACCTTTATTTATGTTTTACGTCCATTTCAGGACACATTTTTCCATCAAAATCGTTCAAAACATTCCTAAAATATAATAACTAAAACTATTTAATTTATAGTCACTGGTTTTGCAACTATAATGTAAATAAATCTTTCAATTGACAGATAGATCTTAGTGGAAATCATATTTCTGGTATTCAATGAAAAATGAATGAATTCATTTTTTCATTTTTAATTCCCACTATTTTTGATAGAAATGTTCACAAGAAATATGATAATGGTCAATGTGCAAGCTATAAAGGATTGGTGTGGAACGGATTTTACTTGTTTGAAAAGTAAAATCCAAAATTACACTGGCAGGACTTGGATAGGGTCTATTACTAGATGACGTACATCAGCACATAATAGAATATTACCTATAGTTTCCCTACATTTAAACATCAATTGTAAATCTCTTTAAATATTTCAAACTGACATATAACACAACACGCATGTTTGATTATTCTGTTTTACATATAAGATAAGTAATACATATATATTTTCACAACAACAAAATACGAAAACTTTAAATACTAACACTGAGTGTAAGTATGAGAATAGGTTTTTATACCACTTCTATTAATAGATTATATGATTTTTTTCTATAATAATGAAAAAAATGTTAGACAAAAATCCGAAAGAAAGGGATGATTTTTCAATTTATTTTTCTGATATTCTCTCTTCATATTGGGTGGTTCTTCTATTATGCCATATTTCTCGATGCTGTTCTTGTATTATCTATTCATTTTCATTTCCATGTCTTTTACTTAGGCAATTAAATTGATTTAAGACTTTTTCAATATTTTTGAAAATTAAAGTTTAGGAACGGGTAAGAACAAAATTAATAAAATTCAAGTTTATGCTATCTTACTTATAATATGATATTGGAGTGTCAATGACTCAAAACGTGGTAGAACGGGATCTAATGAGAATCCGCCAAAAGTAACTACCAAATGATTTAAAATCATTGACAACCCAATATTGTTTCTAAGAAATTACTCGAATATTGTGATCTGAAAAGAAAAAACATATAGATAATACTTCGATCATATTTTTATAAATCTGAAATCTCTTGTTAGCTTTACTTGCGAATAGGTCAAAATGTTATCCAATTTGTAACTTTGTAATAACAAATGCAAAAGATAGTTATCCCGCCGTATTTTTTTTTAATATCGAGTTATTTTCGTCATTTGAACATTTTTCATTATAAAAGAAAAAGTTTGCAGAAGGGTACAATACGGTTTGTTATTCAGGATCCATTTAGGGCTCCCGAATGATTTTCAGCTGCTTTAACATTTCTCTTGTAACAGATTTTATATGCAATCCGTTACACTTTTCTCGCATAAACAACGGCAAGTATCGCTTGAATATCTAGGAACTAAAAATATTCATTATATAGCCCCTAAATACACAAACAACGGGTGCTAGCACTATTGGTCCTGTAAATTTTATGTTCCTCAGTCATTGTGGTCATGTGGATATGCTCGTTTTAAAGTTTTTTTTTGGACTAACACCAAAATATTAAAGTGTTAAAGTACAATACTTACACATATGAAAATATGTTCCGATAGAACTGCAATTCAGCAGTTTTAAAAGCTCAGCTTTATGATATTCATAGTGGTCAATCAAGGAATTTCACTTGAAAAAAAACTAAGCTTTTCAAACTACTTGGTCTTTTCAAAATGTAGCCTGCTAATAAATATTTAAAAGTAGTAACAATAAGGTAAGTACGTTAGTACAACACGCCTTATACTATTAATGATTTAACATAATTAAGTTAACAGGATTAGCATCTGTAGACGTCAACAATTTTTTCAAATGAATGTGAACCCTATGGATATATATATATATATTTATTTTTTTAATGGAATGTTCAAAAATTGCCAGAATGCTAAATCCCTGAATACCTATGTTCAGTGAAAAATTCTTGATGGGATTTCAAACATTTGATAAAGTTTGTATTTAAATAAGCAATTAAAATTTATAAAAAACTGCCACAATTTTGGTAAAATTATTAGTGGAAATTCGAGGTATTTAAAGAACGCACTCAGTTTGGCTGCAATTTTCTTTTTTTGATGGTTTAATCAATCAAACTTATTATTGGTAAGTTATTGGTCATTCTAAAATCTCCTTCTAAATTCTCGGGTGCAAACTTAAAATATCCTCGATTTGAAATTTTACTTTAAATATGAAGAGCCAAATTCCAACGAATTTTATATTGCTACAGCTGCTGTTAGAAGGCATGGAAAAAT